AGGACCCCTATGGCACCCTATCCACAGCAGAAAAGGCTAAGAAACTTAAATACCGCATCCTTAGCCAAGCGTTTAAACCGTTTATCCTAAGCCAGGGGGGCCTACTAGGAAAGGAAACCTCACAAACCTATAAGGAATTCCAGAAGTCCCTTACCCCTAGCACCTCGGATTGGCTAGATAAATACATCTTAACTACCCTAGTAAGGCTCCGAGCAAGAACCTGGCTAGGGTATGGGATAGACTAGTATACGTCTAACTTTCCTATGTTACCTCTTTTCTTCTCTCCTTTATATAATCTAAAGACCCTAGGTAATTAGATGAGCAAGTGTAGCTTAAGTAGAGCCAGAATAGAAGTCTTTTCTAACCCTAACCCTAAAACCCTATATACCTAATAGATAATAAGTGTATGCACGTTGCTCTATATGCTCTATAGTGCTCTATAGAGTAGAGCAGTAGAGCAGAGTAGAGCATATAGCGTTTTTATGTAAGGTGCTCTATTATGCTAAGGTACGGAGAACAATAGAGTAGGCTGTGCGACCCTGTCATTGGCAGGATTATAACACTAATATAAAACGATGGGTTAGGTGTATAGATCTTACTAAGGGGGGTACGCTTCCACTAGAGTTTAATATTATTAGTTTAGGTAAGCTTCTCCTTAAGAGCTTCTGGTTCTTTGCCAAAAAGCAGAGATCGAGCAATAAGGTTAATAACATGACTAATAAATCGGATTCGGCGCTTAAGGTAATTGAACTCGAACTTAGAACTAAGGGCTTTAATATAGGTGTCGTTATTCGAAGCGTTATCGCAGACGAACTAGCCGGTCGTTCTTCTCAGGATCGTTTCACTAGGTGATACGCCACCTGAAAGTTGTTTGGATTGAGTGGAGGGAGACTACCGGGGCCTCGTGATGTCGGTCGCTGCTTGGATTGCCGCGTTTCGCAGGCTTACGAAACAAGAGGGACCGGGGGTTCGAGCTTCGGCTACATGATCGACTTCTGCCGTCGTCGATGTCAGGCACTTGCATTGACCCTTGAACTCTACCCAGCCGAGCCGCATCTAAGCGTCTGTTCCGAATTCAATTGCCGAGAAATCGTACGGGCACGCCTCAGCCTTGGCTTCGTGCACGTTACGAGGTCTACCACAACGTGAGATCGGGTTGAACACCTGTCAAGCGAGAGCTAACTTGGTAGGACGTTTGCGGTCGTTGTTGTCTGACACTAGCACGGACGCTACTACCGCCGTCCATACTGGATACTTAATTCTAGGCAAAGCGACAAAAGTGTTTTGTATTCCACCCAGCCTGGATCGTCATAGCTGCAAACTCCCTTTGTGCGTTACTCTACATTGGTGTCTTCTCTGAGTGTTTTCATGTGTCCATTACGACGTATTTGCTAGAAGACCTGCACATCATAGCTGCATGCTTCAACCTATACTTGTCCGTCCTCTACTCCTCTCTAAAGCACCCTGTAGACCCTTTCCATGCTTCGCAGAAAATCCCTCGCTAGAAGTGCCTTAAGGATCTCCAGCGTAGCTTGCATGTGGCGCTCATTTGGACTGAATACAGCTACCGACTTAAATGAGCAGGAAAGTCGGTCAATATTTGGACGTTGCCTGGCTGCAGGCAGTAACTAGCATGCAGTGGGCGAGCCTCTAAACTGGAACTATACTCTTGCCTCCCTACCAGTCGAGGTAAGGGTACTCACGCTCTGCATGTCCGTCGGCATTTGACATTTTCTACACAGGTTTCTTACCCAAACAGCATCTTCTCTGGTGCAGCCCATTGTTGTCACAGAAAAGCTGGTTCCTAGATCCACCGTCTTCATAAGGCTGCTCAGCAGCAAGCTCACCTTAATCGAAGATCCTTTGCGCGATCTCGAGTCCTCCAGGCCATACTCGCCTAAAATGTATGGTATCTTGCCCCCAAATATGCCGTAGGCGCGGGGTCAGAGGTTGGCACACAGGTAGGACGTATTGTGTCCCATCAAGCAAGAGCCGACAACTCCGAAGAATGCTGAATGCTTCATGCATCTCTCCTTCCTCCGATCATCCGACCTTCGATCGCTGAAAGGGGAGCCTCGCGGCTAACTACGGGTAAAGAAGCGTCCTGTATTGGCGAAATGCTACATCAAGGCTACATCCCAGGAATCTTGCTGTGAATCAGGCCATTCGCTATACGCCTGGATAGAGAGACGCCGAAGCCCTAAGATGCAACTGTGGGCCGTCATCGTTTTGCTCCATCCCTGAGCTGTGATCATGTGGTGAATAGCAATTCTTGGCTGCTTTGTTCTTGTATAGACTTCGAGAGTCCGAGGAGTACGGCAACCATCAGATCGTCACTTTCCGAGCAGAAGAAACATGGCCACTTTTACCAAGATGCCGGATTCCGAGACTCCTGTAGTCTGAGTCAATCATCTTGAAAAGATTGTGAAGATCAATGACAATGTTTATGGAGGCGTCCACCGAGTATGCCAATGTATCCTATAGATGCATCAAAGAATCAGACTTGGACTCCTGTCAGACGATACGAGTACAGGTGACTGACATATCAAAAAGGCACATGGGAAGCTGCGGTGTCTACGACCCCGGCAACCCCTTATCGGACGAGAACGTCTTCCGCAAGGACGTGATCGAAACCTCCAAGGATTTCAACTGTCTGATCCCCAGACATCCGGGCGGCAAATCTGTAACTACTTACCACTGGCTCGATAGCATCGGTCCTATAGACCAGAGGCCCGCAGGGTGAGGTTATAACCGAACAAGGAAGTGTGGCTGTCCCTTGACAGTCGTTCAGATCGGAACTCGCTCGGCTTGGTGGAGAGAGTAACCAGTCCGGTACTGATGTGTTTTTGAGTGGTGCCAGGTCGTTGGCAGAGAACCTTACTTTGCTCTGAATTTTGGTACTGGCACACTGGACGAGGCTTTGGACTGGTTGGAGTACTGTAATCCTGACAAGAACGCTTACCCTGCGAACTTGAACCGCAAGCTAGGCCACGACAAGCCTTATAACGTTGGTTGGGTTTATATGTCAATCATTAACGAACGATTATAGCGGAATCGTACGTAAGTATAGTACTAATGATAATCTTGGAGGTAGTAAGAACCGCTACTTGGATTACCTAGAACATTAGTAGTGTCAAGCAAGTGGAGCAAGTAGTGTGTAGTAGTGTATGCCAAAGGGACGGTTGAAATAACTAGTTGAGTTGAATGCAGGACCTCGTAGTGATGCCCTGCCTACCTATATACCTTGATAGATAATGAGTGTATGTATGTTGCTCTGTATGCTTTATTGTTCTGTGTGGTCTGGAGGGAGCAGGGAGAACGAGGAATCGCACAGAGCAGGGTGCATGAGGCATTATGTGCTCTGTGGAATCCCCAGTTCTTGGCGGAATCCTCAGAGCAGGATTCCAAATCCGGTAATGATTGTTGTAAAACCCGTTACGCTTAACTAGCTCGTAACACGTAGCTGCAGAGCTTCTACGGTCGCTGACTTACAAACCCCTCGCCCGCCCTATAATGCTAGAGAGATCACCTTAGGCAACCTACCACCATCAATTGTGATAACGGTGTTCGCCTTGGTACAGTTGGCCAGAGCACGATTGATCACAAAGGTTCCCGAAGTGCCAGCCGGAGCATTGATAACTGCATTAATCCTGCCGAGAGCAATGGTCCACGATACCTTCAATGTACCATGTGGAGTCTTAACCTGCGCACTTGCGTACGAGAGGTCAAAGCCGGTGTAAGCGGGCTCGATTATCCAAGTCTTGTAGCCCAAAGTTAGGGGTCTAATGCCGGCGACGTATTCGGTCAGGATGTAGGTGGCTGCGCCACCCCATGGGTGCGAAAGACTGGTGTAACGCGACAGTGCGGGCTCGAGATTGGTGTCTACGTACTCCCAGGAGGCGCCGGAGTGGGTGGTGTCATTGTTGATCATGGCTGCCCACAGATTATCCATCAAGTAGCGTGTCTCACTCGTGCGGTTCGACTGCATAAGCGCGGAAAGCAGGAAGCCGTTCGTGTTGGGAGAGATGGTAACAAGGCCGGATGACGATATGGCGGTTGAGTCCTTGTAACCAGGGCTGAGTTTGAGCTCGGCTAGCGCATTGATACACGAGGTTGCTTGCAAGGAAGTTGCTACGCCAGAGGTGATAACAAAAGACAGACCCGATACTGAGTAGGCAGATGCGTTGGACTTGGTGTCTGAGAAGTAGCCGAGGTTGGATTGCCAGAAACTGGACTGAATTTTTGAAGTCAGGGAATCTGCAGAGGCGGTCCACAAGCTGGCGGAGCCGGCATCTCCTACTGAAGCTGCAACCTCGGCCATTACTCGTAATGCCTGGACCGTGGCAGCATTGACAGCCAGACCACTACCGTCACCAATGAAAGTGAGGAACGTAAGAGTGACAAGTCCTGAAGACTTGTCAATCTTGCTTACTAACCAGTTGACGGCCAGTTTCCACTGCGACCAGCTCTTGGCAGCAAACGTAACATCATTGGTGTAACGCATGTATGAACCAAAAGAGATGAGACCCAGGATGTGGTAGTCTTCCAGAGGGTATATCGGTCCATCAGGTGTCGATATAGCAAATTGAGAAGTTGCAGAGCCGGGGTATCCCATAGCAGTGTCCAAAGGTAGTTGGCCGCTAGGGAGCTGCCAGTCAAGGAACGTTTGTAGAGTGCCGGTCGTGTAGTCTGAGCGAGATGTCGAGACGCCGAGGATGCCGGCAGCGTGGTAAAAGTCACCCAACCAGACCAGGCGGTCACGCTTAGCACCATCGAGACAGACTGCTTCCGTGTTGGATTGCATACCGTATTCTGGCAGAACGATAGAGGCATTAGTCATAGAATTGGCGTAAATGACCGTGCCATTGCTCGAAGCAACTTTGACATCCTTGAAATATGCAGCCTGATCCTGCCAACCACCGAAACCGAACGAGCCAGTGGTGATGGAACCAGAGGTGCTGGTGTAGTACTTGTCCAAGGTAACGTTGAAGATCTTGACTCCGTTCACTTTGACAGCAAGATAGTTACCGTCGTACATGGCAGCAGATACGGAGTACCACTGACCCTCCTTGACATCGAAAGGAACTTCGAAAGTATCGAGGTAGTAGGAGGGTACTGTAGTCTGATTCACAAGACTGAAGCCAAATCCAAGAACGACGCTGTTAGCGGGTAGAAGTGTGCGATTTACGTTAGAGTAGGTAGTAGCGGCGGGATAGTCTCCAACCAGATTAAGTTGGATGCCACCCGTTCTGCTTGCCACAGGGTAAGCCATGGCCCATCCCAAGCTTCCACGTTGAATTTTGGTTGAAAAGGTGAGATTATAGTTTGAGAAAGCATCTCCAGCCAAGGAAAGACCAGCACGGGATCCCCTGACGAGAGCACCGCTGCTCGATGAGATCTCCCATTTTGGCTTGTAAGCACCAGCCGAGAAGCAGGCCGCGCCAACCGCTCTAGCACCGAGCTTCCAAACCTCATTGTACAGCGAATTGGAGGAGGTGAAACGTCCAGGCAGCTTGTCGTAGTCGACTACATCGATAGTTGCGGTGAAACCAACGCTCGCAAACGTGACAGAGCCGGAAGTGAGCAAGCGGATGGTCTGCCAGCGTTGACCTCCCTGTGCAAGGAATGAGTCCAACTGTCCTGTGCAGGAAACTTCAAATGTCTCGACTCTGTAGGTGTTTGAAAGGCCTTCAGCAAACGGGAAAGGGCCGTCAGAGTAGGGCAAGTTAATGTCGTTGAAGTTTTCAGTGTATCTGTGTATGTTAGTGGCGTTCTTGAGCAACAAAGGTGGACGATTCACTTGACTTCGATCTGAACTTTGCCTTCGAAGCCGGTGACCTTGAAGAAGGGATATCCTGCGACCTCGTAACCATAGTCCAAGGTGGCGATGGGATTTTTCGAGTTTAGGGTGAAAGGAGCGAATGGTTGTGTCTTGATTTGCGGAGCATTGCCGATAGCGACAGCACTGGGATAGAAATGGTTGGAGCTAATTATCGGTTAATCAGGGTGTGGATAGAAGCATCACAAACATTGCCACAGACTTTGGTTTGTACGATGGAACCGCCAAAGCCTGCAAAGCAGAGGCGAGCAGTAAAGGAATGGAAGTCTTCATCTCTATCGTTCCAGGTGAGAAAACTGTTTTCTGCTGGAGGGCACATCACACTTTATAGGGTTGACCACTTGGCACGAGCTCGAGAGCAATAGTGCTTGTCCCAACTCCGCAAGACATTGTAGTCGAAAGCAAGTCGACGCCATGTTATTCAATCAACTCACTGGCCATCTACCGTCCTTGTCTGCCGTTGCAGACACGACTTACTTTCCTTTACCGGCACGTGGAGCCGCGAAAGAAGTTAGAGTAAAGCTGGAGACTGAGTTGCGGGGTCTGGGTGAAACAATGTGGGGAACACCGCTGTGCTCCCTCAACATATTCAGTGCAACGTCTGGACGTCTTCATGACTGCGAAAGTGCGTGAGATGGAGTAATAAGAAGATGACCGACGCCACGTTCTTTCGCTCAGACCATCGGTCAATTGACGTCCTTATTTGCTGTTGTGAATACAACTAACTTCCTCCACTAGTATGTAGAGCTATAGAGGAGTTGGAACGAACCTTAGAACCGGTTCATTTGATTGAATTGATTTGATTTTCCTAAGCTATTTACCCCATAAGGGGTATGATCTGTCCGGATTCAACCTGCTTTCCAACCAATAGCAAACGTTAGACTCGGTTATATAAGGAGGGTGAAGGTATCTTAAACCTTGAGTTAATCAATAACGCCTATACTCCTATGTGCTCTTATACAGAGTGACTCTACACTTCTAATCCTTAATGGTAGAGGTAGAAGCCGATCGTCCTTAGAACGGCTTACTAGTCCACTTAGTCTTTCTTTACGCGCGAACAAGCCTAGCCCTAGCTAATTGAAAACGGACATGAGCAACTTCCTACATGACATGGGAAAGAAGGAACTAGTTTAGTTAAAGAAAACGTCTAAACAACGTAAAATCTAACACTCTAAGCGTTAGTTAGTGAGGTTATAGTGGCGCGTTAGGCGCATGGGACTATAGTATAGTGATTAATGGACCTACCATCTTATTGTATACAGAAGACGCTAGTGAAGCTAGGGATAGAGATCTTGAAATTGTCCCCATTCGTCTCTCCTTTCTTGCTCTCCTCTCTACTAGATGGTTGTCTGCTTTTCTATACGTCTTTCTTCTTTCTAATAAGATTAACCTTAGTTTAAGGTGTTTGTTCGAGAGGATATAGCATTAGACATTTTTTCATTGGATCAGGTCTATACTCAGATTCTCATCTGTACTTTCGGCCATAAGGGCACCGTTCCAATCTGTGAAAAGATTTGGAATTCAGTTTGTGGAGAAATGGTCACCCCGCACTCCCGCACTCTTCTTGAACGGCTCCACAATTTCAGGCGCACAAAGCGTACTGTCGCGCTTTCATCCCTTATAACTCAGGCGAACCTAGTTCTCGAGAAAGGCACTCTATTTGTCGGGAGGTTTTGTGTGGCCAGAAGCGCGCTGAGGGTTCGACTTCTAGACTGTCACTTCATGAACCCGGTGGAGAGGCTCGATCTGCCGTGTCTTGACACTCTGCTGCCGTCTGCACTGACCCCGCTTCTCGACCCCACTGGGTTTGACGCTCAGAGCGTGCTCTATGGTACATGATCCCTGATTGCATCTGGGCCATCGCACCATGAGGCATATCTTGAGGTGGTAAGTCATATAAAAGGGCAAGCAGGTCGGCCGTGTATGGAAGCGTACCACTCTCCTTCTTTTCTTCCCTCAAATATGCGATCTACTCTGATATCTGGACTGCTGTGTGCATCTGTCGTTGGAGCTGTCCAGCCATTAGTGGATGTGAGTTACTCTAAGTATCAGGGTGTCCCGTTGGCAAATGGTATCACAGAATGGCTGGGTATGCGATATGCCGCTCCTCCTGTTGGCAATTTAAGATTTGCGGCGCCGGTTGATCCTGTCCAGAACAAGACCACGGTCGTAGCTAATACTGTGAGTAACTTCCGTGTATGAAATCGATAGATTGGTTGTTGATAACTACGCAGTTTGGAGACATTTGTTTGGGTACTGGCGCTGTTCCCAGCAACACCTCGTCTGAGGACTGCCTGTTCATAAACGTTTACGCACCTACAAACGCTTCATCAGAAGACACGCTACCTGTGTACTTCTTTATTCAGGGTGGAGGTTTCAATTCAAACTCGAACGCCAACTACAATGGAAGCGGTCTGATCGAAGCCAGCAACCACAACATCATCGTTGTCAACTTTAACTACCGCGTGGGACCCTATGGTTTCCTCGCTTCCAAGGAGATTGTCAAGGAAGGCAACACCAACAATGGCATCAGAGATCAAATCAAGGCCCTGCAGTGGGTCCAAAAGAACATTCGCAAGTTTGGTGGTAACCCCAACCATGTCGTTCTTGGTGGCGCATCAGCAGGTGCCTCATCCGTGACTCTGCTCCTTACAGCCCACAATGGACGCAACGATGGCCTTTTCCACGCCACAGCAGCTGAATCCCAGGCTCTTTCCCCCTTGCTCAGCGTGGAAGAGTCTCAGTTCATGTACGACAACCTCGTCATCCGCACCGGCTGCGTAGACTCAAACGACACACTGGCCTGTCTACGCGGTCTCAACAGCACATTCCTGCAGACCAAAAACATCAACACGCCTTTTCCCGGCGCCCAGAACCCTCCTGTTACCATGTATTCCCCAACTCTCGACGGCGACATCGTAACCGACTACACACTCTCGGCCTACCGCAAAGGTAACTTTATTAAGCTGCCCGCCATCTACGGCGACGACACAAACGAGGCCACCTTTTTCACCCCCACAAACACATCTTCCATCGCCGAAAGCAACACCTTCATCAAGGACCAATTCCCCTTGCTAACCACTTCACAACTCCGTGAAATTAACACTCTGTACCCCAACAACCCTAACAACACATTCCCCAACTCAGGCTTATACTGGAGACAAGTCAGCGACGTATTCGGCGAGATGTTGTTCAACTGCCCGGGCCTCGCCATCACCGACATTTACTCCTCGAACTTCTCCCGCAAGGACATCTACAACTTCCACTGGGACGTTCTTGACCCTGGCTTTGCAGCTAGAGGCCTCGGTGTAGGCCACACGACGGAGCTCGGTGCCATCTGGGGTCCTAACAACACTCAAGGGTTTACCTTGGCGTCGTATGCGACCACAAACGCCAACATCATTCCCATCACTCAGGCATACTGGATTAGTTTCATCAGAAGCTATAACCCTAACACTTACAGATTGAAGGGCAGTCCCGAGTGGAGGGCTTGGACTGCGCAGAAGAAGCAGAGACTGCACTTCGTTACTAATGCTACTGCTATGGAGGTGGTGGATCAGAGACAGCAGAAAAGGTGTGCATATCTCAGCAGTGTTGCTGTAGACCTCAAGCAGTAGAGAAGGAGCAAAACCCCCCTTTTGATATTTGAGATTCTGCGAGACATTTCTTTGATGGACGAGTATCAGATGTGTGAGATTGTACGATTGTACGATTGTACAGATAATCGTGATCATTTACTGCCCCCTTTTGTAGATGATATGTAGTCTTATCCTACCCAATATAGTTGGTTGTTTGGTTGGTTGATTATTGTAAGCTATTGACAGTCTTGTCGTCTGTATGAGCTGTCCTGAACACTGCTTCGTCGCTGCCTTCGCTGCCTTTGCTGCTTTGTCTTATGTGAAACTCCCCTACTCCTGTTCCTGACTGCTCTGACCTTGTGCCGACGTAGCTCCCATCCTAGTTGTCTCTAGAAGAAACCAGATCGTTGACTTCACCATGCCCAAATCTGGTGCCCACTTCTCCCTAGCGCCATCCACTAGCTTTCCCGTCCGCAACTCCCTCTTCATGCTGTAGCCTCCTAGCAGGTAGGAGAGATCTCCCCATCTCGTTCCCGCCACTTCTCTTGTTTCCTGCCTCATGTCTGTCCATCGAGGACACCGTAGCAGGACATGCGCTACTGTTTCGTCTTCGATCCCGCACCCGCACTCTGCGCTTTCCTCTAAGACACCGATGGGTGGTATCCTCAGGTGGCCTCTGTTGCTGTTCAAGGTGTCAGATACCAGCGTTGTGTATAAAGCATCCTGAACTCCTGCACTCTTCCACAAATTTGCTTGGAGAATGTTTAGTGTACTAAGCATAAGGGCGGAGGTTGTTAACCTTTTCCGTTCGCTTCCTGTACTCTGAACATCCGTTGTAAGACGCAGGGTGATCCCCTTCGCAGTCGGCGCATCTTGGTGTGTCCGTGTGGCAGCCGTTGTGTTTCTCCTCTCCACATCTTACGCGTCTAGGTGCGCTTTTGCAGTCTCTCCTCATGTGACCATACCTTTGACACTAGTGACATATTGCAGGTTTCTTTTTCTCATAGAACTTCTCGACCTTGAACATGCTCCCGAAAATGAAGATCTCCTCACCCTTAGCTTGCATCCAGAACAGCTTCTCGACCTGTTCTCTTGAGTCCAGTTTGGCAACTACTGACCCACAGGCGGCGCTCTCCTTTGGTCGTCCTAACCACTTCATGTGCTTTATCTCGATATGGTTCTCTGCTTCGAATGTCTGCTTTGCGCACTCGTTTACCCCCTTCGTGTTCTGGTCTGTGGCATCGATTCTTGAGACAAAGTCAATCTTGACCGGATAACAGGTGGGTTCAATGAGGTTTGCTCCTTTGAGGAACACCTCGATCCAGTCGCTTGCATTTTTTCCCGCTATCTTTTCTGCCTCCTTGTCTATGTTGAGATATGCGAGGTGGACATCTTTGTTGGTGTGTCTTATCATAAATCTCCTGATCTCCACGTTCTTTAGTCCTTTGTTGGATCTGATTGCTGCGAAGATGCAATTCTTCGTTCTAGTATCGGAGTCTGATCCAGTGCGTCCTTCCATGTCAAGGTTTTTTCCAAGTCGATAATCATGTCTGCTTCTTAAGTGGGAGCTGTCTTTTCATTGCGCTTCTAATGAATCTTCCTACTGACGTTGGTGACGACCTAATAGGCGGATGATCCACTTGCTTAGACATGTTAAAGGACACCCTAAATGTGGCAGATCGCGTAGGGGTGATGATCTGGTTCGGGTCCGGTAGAGGTATACCTCGCGCTGCCACATCTGCGTATAAGTCAGTATTTCCTGTGGGTACTGATCGCGACTGCAGGAGCCCCAAGTCGAGACAGATGCTTGGAGGCTCTTGAGATCAAGAACCAGTGTTGTAACCGTGTTTTGTAGCTGCTTGATCTCCTCTCTTCCTTCCTTTTCCTTCTCCTCGGCCCGTGCCCCGTCTTCCCTTTCCTTCTTTCCTTTTTCCTTAGTTCTTGCATTTTGCAGCAACAGAAGTTCCATATTGTCCTCGATCGTACGTGATGGTCTTGCACTTCTTTCTCTTTCATCGGCGCTTGGGGTTGGACTGCCGTCGTCTGATGTTTACACTTGTGGATAAATAGCTGAATATTCTCATCTATAGATCTTAGCTCATGATATCTAGCCTTAGATATAGTGTCACTCTTGAGAGACTCAAGAATCTTTTCACTAAGCGCTGGAAAAGACAGTCGCTAGATTCTAGCTTGGAATCATCAGGTCTCCTGCAAGTGCTCTAAATGATGCCATGATAAGATGAAGAAACCATTTTTGTAGAAGACCTAGTAGCTTGTTAAGACCATGTCATTTATGGTAGCGCATTGCTCGGTGGCTGAGTTTGAACGATGCTTCGTAGGATTTTGTTTTCATCTTGCGCCAGGAGCAGCTCGCGCTTTAGCCTCTTGATATCTGACTCCAAAGAGTCGTTGCGCACTTTCGAAGCTGATAGTTGCGCTTCTAGTTCTTCCTCTCGTTGACGTCTGCGATTACGATATGCTCGTTGGCTATGAACACCACGACGTGTTAGCAGATGAGGACTCTGCATGAGTCGATGACCCGGATACATACGCAGCCAGATTTTGTGCTCTCCGTCTACGCTGTGTCGGCGTCAGGGATTCATCCTCAGCTGCGGAGCCACGACGTCGTTCTGCACACTCCAAGTGTCCTTCGAAATCGAATCTTATCGCTGGGGATTTGGATCGCCCACAATCAACGGCAATACCGTTGCAATATGCCAAGGGTTGCTTCTGTCGTTTTTCCACCAACCTGTTTGGGCTGTTCACGACAACCTGTTCAGTCGATGCGATCTGGCCTGGAGATGTGACTGGATTTTGCGTGGAGGTGTTGCCTACTGGCGCAGTAAGGGTGTGCTGCTCATAGCCATAGTGGAACTGGACACGGTATGAGTATGGATGTTGTGTAACCCGCCACGAGTCCTGCATACCTCCGAAACTCCCGGCCATACAGGATGTGTGTACATAGACTGCTGATCGTGCATCGTGTATACGGGAAAGTGGCAGACGTTCGTTGGTACACAAGGTTGTTGGTATTCCATGTTTGATGGAATGCTTGTAGCCACTTCCAAAATATGTTGTCCATGTACGAAGGTCGCGTGTACAAGAGTTTCAGCAGAAAGAGGCAGGATGTGTTTAAAGCTACCATAGCAGGAAAAGCCATGATCAGAGTCTCGATCCATTCTCGCGTTGGGGCTTCTAGGGTGAGTGGAGAGAAGTGGAAGCACACTTACGATGAACAATTGTAGCATCCGCGACTATCACGGAGCCTGGTCGCCAGACGCCTTCTCAGGGCCTACCCGCGATCTCCCTGATTTTCTCTCTGTTCCGAACTTTGGGTTCATGGTACAGAGTTAGCGGCAAGCTCCACCACGCGTCACTTTATTGACAATGTGGAGAAGGGGCTGGCTCCGCCTTACATTCTATCTTCTATTCCATGAGCTCGCAACTAAATCGAAGTATCTCAGCAGAGGTCGGCCGGACCGTTTTAAAAACCGAGATGTGGGAAAGTATTCTATGATAAGAATGGAGACGGCGACAAGTGGAAGGCAAAGACGGCCACCCAGGCTTACAGACCCATGTTCACGCTCCTCAGTCCCATCGATACTGACTTCTTGGGCTTGAACCAGACAATTGCCAACACGGGCGAAGACATGGTTCGACGCGTCAAGCCACGGGAATAACAAACTTTCAACAACGAATCATTCCGGCAACATGGCATGCGATTCATAGGATCTTCCTTCCTGTTTTAGGATTCGAGAACTCATGCTAATCGTTGTCAATCTAGCGTCTTGGAAAACATGGCATCTTGACCACCGTATCGTATGGGTTTTTGTCATCCGATATCGCAGATGATATTTTCGAGACATGCACACATCAATTCACTGGGGCCCTGTCAACCGCTGTCTGCACTTGAGTAGTCTAGATCGGGCATATCCGATATGTCTGTTTGCTTTCTATTGAACATGTCCGTTTACGATCGGTACAAGCTACACGAGTCTCATGACTCCTGTGGGTCTGTCAGCCAGCTTCGAGAGCTAAGATTGCCACTTGTCTACACCCATTTCCTGACTTATTCGCTACGGGTTGTTGTTGTGGACGCATGCTTCGATAGGGTCCCAACATTCTGTTATCCAAGCGTTGCCAAGAAGGACAGAGGCACAGCTCGGTGCAGCACGGAGAGCACCTACTATCCGTGCAAAGCTAGGAATTCTGTTGCCGAGCCGCTCAATGGCACACGGCGACGTGGCCACGTTGCTCCTCTCCACGTCTGATAGGTTCCTATTCTTCCCCAAATCTGTTTCAAGCCCTAGGGTCTGCACACGTCACATGATGACATTGCTTCAGCTCGCATGATGATGCTATTCGTGGTTTGCAAATCATGTACTTAACGTTGGCTGATTTGTCTAAATGATTATGGTATTGGAATCGCATCGTGCCAAGGTTTTGGCTTTTGCTTGCAAGCATCAACCATGGCGTACCCCGGGTTCGAGATTTGCTTCTGTCGACAGGATGGAGCTGAAGACCCGCAGATTCTGCAGTCCTCGTCATCTCAATACGCATGTAATTGCAGGTGTCGAGTTCCAGAAGTCGAACATTTGGCCCTAATGGACTTCACCGCTTCCGACATACTGTCATGGCCCTACGGTTTATATTGCCGATCTCTGGCGATCTCTTAGCTTTCGTCGCAAGGCGTCATGTTTGTCTCGCCCTGGCTCCCTTCTAAACGCCACCCATCCAACCCTTCTGGTATTGCCTTGCTCTACGATGGATCCCGAGGTACCTCGTGTGACTTTACGTCACGTTTGTCGCGTTCCGTACATACCTGCATGATGGTCAAGGAATCAAGGTCTCCGCCCGAGGGCACGCTAAAAAAGATACCCACCACTACTCCTCTATAGGCAGCATGAACAAGGGATCGAAACTTCAAGGTTTTATCTCTACTTGTGGAGGAGCGGGTGGCGGACCAGAAGATCCAGCAGGCGCTTGACAAGATTGGGCGAGACTCGGGGTTGGCAGGAAGCATGACCATTCATCCGCCCATTCTCGAGGATTCCAGTCGGCCGTCAGTTTCCAACTTTTCTCCCGATGATCTCGAATTTTCCCCAGCAATACCTTCGAGTGAAAGTAGCCAAGTTACCTCTGAGTTAAGCAGAATCTTCCCGACCTGTAAAACCTTTGTGCAGCGTGACATGCAAGAGCTCACGTTTTCTGGTATAATACTACCGGCTAGGAGGGCTCCACCTGATGCGATCATGGATCATATCAACACTTCGGTCCGGAAGGTCGCCCCTATTGGGTCACGTGAGTTGTTTAGGGACAAAATTGATCACCGGACGACCGATACACCCCTCCAAGAGCGACGACGAGCTATACAGCGACGACTTCGGCTCCAATCCGTCTGTCCGGTCGTTCATCTCGTCATGTGAAGCAGACGTTTCATTTACCATTCCATGAATTACTCTGACCAATACGCTGCACACAGAGTAGGTAATGAATAGATCAGACCAGTTCTGACTCCAGAACTGGTCATAGGTATAATAGTCGTCGGCGACAGAAAGGGTGAAACAGTCCCAGTCTTCAGTTCCGATATCAATAGGGCACATAGCTATGTTTTCGAAGGACCTTTCAAGGCTAGTGGTGATGCCGATTTCAATCCAACTTTTGACACATTGAGCCTCTCCAATAGCTCGTGCAGATAGCCGCCCTCCGTGAGGTGTGATCATCTCGTCGTCGCTCGAGAGGATGCACTCTGGCTCATCCAACATTGCTAGTATAGTAAAGAGGTCTCTGACTATACGTGAGAGACGAGGGTAAGCCTGCTTTTGACGTTGTGTTGACCAGAACTCAAGAGGTCTAGATTCATTCGGTCGTCGCCCTGCTTCGCACCACTTCTGGTGTTCATCAGTAGATGTGTCGTCCGCAAGGTCACGGAAGTCGCTTAAGGTGTCCTCATCCATCCATTCAGCGTGCGTTGTCCTAAACTCGAAGAGATCTTGTGTCCTCAGTGGTGACAGTAATTTTAGCGTAGTCGAGCCATAACTTCTTGACTTCAACGGGAGCTCTGTTATTTCTATCTGGGCGACCTCGCCATGCCTTTTCAAGCCGCTTCCACTTGAGGCCAGGACGGAGCACAACTGCAGCAACATATACAGGTGATCGGTCTGTCTTTGGGTAGTATTCATCCAGCTTTTGCCATGCGAGGTTGATACCGACACAAAGCATACGGTGGTCGACGAAGCAGCAAAACTGCTAGATAGGCGACTTCTTTTAGCCCGGCATTCGCCGTGCACAGTGATGTTGTGGGTAGTCAAGTGCTTGATAGGAGGTGCAGTACCATAGCCTACGCAGAAGGCACAACGAATTATACGTTTATTGTAGCAAGACCGACAGACGCAGTGATAGACCTCAAGAAGTATTCCTTGTGCCTGAGCTCGCCAGCCATGGTCGGATACCCGGCTTGTGCTTGCAACCTTGCCATCTGAGCAACTTTCGAGCTGTATAGTGGTACCAATGTTCTTCACCAGCGGAGACGTGTACGGTCGACATCCCTGTAGTAGTTAAGGTTCGCAACAGTGCGAGGAGTCTCAGCGCAAGCAGCAGTATTCTTGAAGTCGTCAGGGCGCTGAAACATGGTATAACATTGAGATACATCCATTCATTGAGATGAGTTCTCTCAGCTGGCCTCATTGAGCATCATAAGAGGTCTAAATGCATTGTGCCATGTTATAGCTCGTCTCGTACCGCCTGATGTGGATCGTTGTGCCCTTATGGCGTGCCCCCTGAATGGTCAAGATGACGGTGAACCGTGAACACTGAAGGTACCTGAGATTGAACTTCCACTAAGGCCGGGTTCATAAATATTCGCTTGGCCACGATATAGCGGTGAATCTGAGGTTGCGAGAAGGAGAGCAGCCAGACCCTCGCCTAATGCTAGCAGTGACAGGGGCCTGCGAGAGTGGCCCTAGATTGGATAATCCAACTCATCACATGAACAATCACAGATCCTTTATAGTGAGGCCCGAACCAAGGAATTATCAGTCGTCTGACATACATGTGCACAATCTGTGATCGTGGTGATGGAGGACGTGACAGGTCGCGAAGAGTGATTTCCATCCATCGTGACATCATCCAGCAGCCATAATCCGGATATCGACCTCTCGTGTTGCTACAAGATGTAGGGGAGCGCTCGTCGGTTGTTTTGAAAGTGCGTCGGTTGTTTTGAGATCAAGGGGCGTGAATCTCTGTCACGATAAATAGCGCATCGTCTGTTCTTCTTAAATAGGTTAGACTGCTTTAGGGCTACATACGCACTCTCATCTGGCATTTCTCATGATCTTTTCCAAGACGGGAAGATGCGACGACAACAACAAGTCTACTCTACTCTTTGATAGCCAAGGATAAGTAGATGGTCTCTTTGAAACAACTAAAGCTGCACTAATCACCCTTTCCCAAGAGAAACACTCGTATCTCTCGATCAAGCTTTTTATAGCGGTACGGCAATGGCGCCGACTTAAAAGTGTGCCAAGCCGTCGCTTCGCTTCAGATTAAAGCTCTCATCCGCCATGTGAGACGTCGGCGTGCTCTTTTGACAACGTTGGCATGTCAGGTCTTGCTCGCCATATAACATACAGGGTTTGTAGCCGACATGAGCATCAAAGAATAGGCATAGGGCTATGTGTCTTGGAGTTCGGATAGAGGTATATAAGAAGCTTGAAAGACCTTGAGAGCTGTCTCGTCACCTCTTCCTTTGTATTCTTTCTTCTTTGTCCTTTTCCAACCTGCATCTGTCACTCTTCTTCTCGTTATGAAGTCTTTTGCTATCTTTACATCTGCTCTTGCAGCAGTCGCCAGCACTGTCAGTGCCTCTGTCGTCAAAGGCGCTGCCGAGGGGTTTGCCAAGGGTGTCACTGGAGGTGGCTCTGCCGCAGCAGTCTACCCTTCCACCACTGCTGAGCTGGTCTCGTACCTTGGTGATAGCACCCCTCGCGTCATTGTCCTTACCAAGACATTTGACTTCCGTAACACCGAGGGTACTGCCTCAGACAAGGGCTGTTCCCCCTGGGGCACTGGCTCACTCTGTCAACTAGCCATCGGTTCGTTGACCGTGCTCTGTCTCGGATCTTTCACTGATTTTCTATCAAGACAAGAACAACTGGTGCGAGGTTGACACGAACAATGCGCCCAAGGTCGGTATATCAAATCATTTTCTGGTGCAAAGTCTAATCCAGGCAATCAGGTCTCTTCCATAACTTATGACAAAGCTGGTGAAGTCGGTATCACCGTCAATTCCAACAAGTCTCTAGTTGGCCAGGGAAACAAAGGCGTCATCAAAGGCAAGGGTCTCCGCATGGCCAATGGTGTCAGAAACATCATCATCCAGAATGTTGCTATCACCGATATCAACGCTCACTACGTTTGGGGCGGCGACGCCATCACGCTCGCTGGCACGGTACTTTGTTCTTGTAACATTTGTAGATTCAGAGATTGACGATCTACTAGGATATGATTTGGATCGACCACGTTACCACTCAAAGAATCGGCAGACAGCACATCGTTCTTGGAACATCAGCTTCGGGCAGAGTTACCATCACTAACTGTGACATTGATGGGTCTTCTCCCTGGTCAGCTACTTGCGACGGCCGCCACTATTGGGCTCTCTACTTCACCGGATCGAACGATATGGTGACCTTCAAGGGCAACTACGTCCACCACACCTCTGGCCGTTCGCCCAAGGTCCAGGGTAACACCATCCTTCATGCCGTCAACAACTACTGGTACGACATCGACTCCAAGGGTCACGCTTTCGAAATTGGTCAGGGTGGTTACGTCCTTGCTGAGGGGTAAGTCAATCTCTCATCCTCTCTCGAGCTGGCTCTGCATGCTAGTCAAAAGGCACCGTGCTTTACGACAAAATGTTTTGGCAGCATGTCGAACTGGCTGGGATGGCTTCACGTCAATTCTTGCCGATCATACTGACTTTGAATCCAGGAATAAGTTCCAGAACGTCGCTACTGTCATCGAGGCCGGTGCCACTGGCAAGTACTTCACCGTTCCCAGCAGTGGCAGCGTCTGCAGCTCCTATATCGGCCGCAGCTGTGTCAGCAACGCTTTCGGTAGCTCTGGTGCCTTCTCCTCTGCCGACACCAGCTTCCTCAGTGACTTTAAGGGCAAGAACATTGCTGCCGCCTCGGCTGCCAGCGCTGTCACCACTGCCAGCGTCGGTTACGGAAAGATCTAAGCCAAAGGCATGGCTTGAAACATTCTTCAACTTCGGTTCTTGCTGCCATACTCCTAGTAGAGTACGATCTATAGATTCTGGATAGTCTCGCCGAATATACAAGCAATCTGTACCGTGCCGTCCTCTGATGGAGTAGAGTTCGTCAGTTGCCTCTAGAAACACACAAGCTCGCGGATTTCTGCTGAATGCTTACCGGTGCGTACGCACAACATTGGCCCAGTCGTAGTCGCTAGTATGTTTACTTGTGCTTCAGACATTAGCCAGAGAACAACGCTAGAACACAAAGTACATAGTGTTCACAAAGCACGTCAGTGTGCTCAGGAGGGCAACCCGAGGGCGGCAACGCTTAGATACCCTTGCAACATGTCCACTAACAGTATGTTTGTATCATACTTAGATGACTATGCAGGCTTAGGCAAGATCCTTTTGAGCTGCGACGATGCGCAGCGTAACGATAGGCTGGCGAGATCATCGATATCCAGCAAATCGGCAGGATGAGCTTTCCATCGGTATTCGGGTGTTACTGCCTCTATCCTCTCTGCGGTGAGGCCTATCAGAGCGTTGTTCGCATTGCTACAGTATCATCAGATGCGCCTCTCTTCGTCGTCAGCATTGTACGAAGGTTTATTGTTGCGATACAATGGATGTATCTTATATTCAGGCCTCCGCCCCAATACAGTCCCTCGCCCCAATACAGTCCCTCGGACCTGTCTCGACGTCTTATACGGATTCTCGTGTTTGAAGAGATAAGGCAACCACGAGCAGGGTGGAGCTCTTTGACGTTGCTCCGTACCTTCTCAAGCTCGAAGTCGCTGTTTGCACAACCTGCCAAGTCACCGTCTGTTTTGACAAGGTAGACCATCACTTTTACTCCAGACATGGAGGCTGTCGTTCATTGGTCAGAAGCGCTGTAACTCAGCGATCACATTTAGATCTGCTCAGACCTCGTCCTAACGCTGCGCCAACGCCAGAATGTCTCGTCACCCCTTTACGAGTTCCTTTCTGCCCGCTCTGCCTGCAATCATGTCGACAAACGACACGAAGCACGCTGTGGCTCGTCCTACACCTCATCTATTCAATCTTGTGTCCCATAACGCTAGACTGACCGCCGTAGCAAAAATCGTGGTTATTGGAAGGTAAACACGACGGCTTCTAAACACAACCGAAGAGAGATGTTGGACAATGAATGGGGTCTTACTGTCACCTGTTCTCTAACCACCATGAGCCAAGAGCTTGTGAACCTTGTTGCAATAATTCGTCGCTATATCGTAAGCAAATTTGACCTACGATTGTTGCCTTCGGCGGCTTGTGACTATGTAAAAGAATTTCGTAATTGTCGCTTTGACAGAGAGTGGTCCGTGATTGTTTCACCAACAAGGAGGTCGTTTCTGATGGTTCGAAGACCGCTCTGCTCTCCTTCTCCTATCTTTCCAGTTTCGGCAGTATGTCTCTATAAATTGTTGTTGCGTTCCGCTTAGCTAAGTTGCGAATCACCCATGTGGTGTGGTCATCAACGAATGCCATGGAAGCTCCTTCCTTGATTGAGATCCGTACCAAGTCTGCGTTGAAGAAGAGCAACAGGATTAGGGCTAGGGGTGATCCTTGTGGCAGTCCTGACTGAGGTAGATCTTCTACTTCAGATGTGAAGCTATTTACCACTACACTTACCTTCCTGTTAGTGCAGAGATCTGGGACCCATTCGATTATGGCCTCAGATATCCGTCTCGGTCTTAATCTTTCTAGGGGGGGATCTATTGCAACATTGTTATATGCTCCTTTAACGTCGAATGAGACTAATGACAAGGCCTTTCTGCCTTTCTAGGCATCGTAAACGGCTTCCTGAAGATAGGAAGTGGCATGTACTGTCGAGTTTTGTTTCCTTGCATCGAAGTGGTTGCTAGGCAGCAGTTTGTGCCAGACTGGTCCAAGAATGGAATCTACAGAATCTAGCCATAGTTCCAGTTCTATTTCTATACAACTGGAATCTCTAGAAACGAAGGTCAGTCAACTCCAGTTCTATTCCAGTTTCAGTTGGAACTTACCCTCCTCGTCGCTCTCGCTATCCTCGTCGCTCTCACTATCCTCGTCCTCGCCGTCTTCCTCGTCCTCTTCCTCATCGCTGCTGACCTCTCGCGCTTCGACGACCTGCAATACAGGAAAGTTTTGATGCAACTTCCAGCTTCTGAGGCACTCAATCATCTCAACATGCTCGAAGCTGATCTGTGCTCTGTCCCATGATATAGTCCGCCGGCAACTAGAAAAGATCCGCTCAGGCTCAGCAGAAATCGGATTGGCGGATAGGATGTCAATTGCCATGCGAGACAGGCTTGGATATTGGCGTTGTTGTTGTGGTTCAAGCCACCACTGTAGAGGGTCTTTGATGAACAGTGGGTCACCTTGTATAAAGTGTCGAAATTCGTCCTTACTCTTGACTGCCTTGACATGCATAAGGCCAGCCTTCCAGTTGCGGAAGCTAGTACCACCTCCCTCTACCTGACCACCCTCTAAGGGTGGTGTAGGTGCTGACGGAGGTGTGAACTTGTCCCGATACTCTCTGTTCCATAGCCCCGTGACAGCATCTTTTGCATCTCTGACCCAAGTGGTAGGCCATTGTTGTTCGACGTAGGACAAGCGATAGGATGTATGGAGGAGGATGGCGGCTTGATAGGCAGGTGTTCTGTCGTTCGTCCCATACCATGCTTCGACAGCGCATCGAGACGAGGTAAGAGCAGCGAGGAAGGAGGGATCGTACGCATGGCGAGCCATGGCTTCATCGTAGTGTAGGCGTAGAAAGTCCATTGCAATGACTACCTGTTCAACTAGTCAGTTTTGCACGGTCCTAGCGTCTAAATCATGCGGTTCTCTTGCCTGCTTGAGAGTAGCATTGTCGCCCTCGGCATCCTTGGTGATCAAGAGGAACTTCTTAAGGAAGTCGAAGGTGTATTAGATGACGCGCCAGTGCTCCGGAAATAAGGGAAATTGACGCAGTTCTGCGTGCTTCATCTGGAGTTGAGTGATGGTTTCTCGACATAGCAGCGCGCGCTCGAACATGGCGTAGTAAATGTTCCATCGAGTGGCGTTGCTAGCAATAGGAGCAAGACCAGTCTCTCGTCGGAACAATCTACTTAGGCGCTTCTTTAATTTGACAGTCTTCATGAACCACTCGAGGTGGCGAACGGCCTCCTCCGAGGCCCATCCGGACTCCTCTCTGTCGAGGATAGCCTCTGGTTGTGAAGTGTTCTTGACAGCCGCATCGATTGCTTCTTTAGACGATGTCTTCCAGAAGGCCTCAAGGATAAGCTTGTTTTGATGCCCCAAAACAGCGAGTGCGGTATTGAGTAGGATCCCAAATAATGCCCATATCCCGCTCCAAATCTTCAGACATCTCCTTCATCATGGTGTCGTTACAATCGGCATTATCGAAGGTCATGTATCCAGGATTGGTGGTGCCAAACTGCTTGATAGTCTGTATCAAACGGAGCGCAGTTTCAAGGCCGGCATGGCCTAACGGGGGGTTGTGTAGGTTGAGGAGAGCCTTGGTTAAGCTACCCTCGGGAGTAACCCATCGGGCAGTAACTGCAAGAAGTTCGATGGCGGCATAGTTCGATGTCCATGTATCACAGGTAAAGTGGATTTTGAGTCGCGACTGAGCGAGGGCCTGCTTAAGTTGTTCTTGCTGAAGGTCATATAATCGTTCGACACGGCGAGCAACACTGATATGGCTCTTGGTTAGGACGTCAGTAGCAGCCGGATTGAACATAGCAATTAGCTCATGAAACTCCGGATACTCAACGAGTCGAAAGGACATGTGGTGTCGAAGGAGGGTTTGTCTGCGTCAGAAAAGTCCTCTGTCGCTTAGAAGAGGGCTCAAGATCAGCGGTCTCTAGCGCGTCCAACAATGGAGACCCATCTGACTGATATCTTGACAAGGTATCCCCAAGGGAGTCTACTTGATCGGCAGTGATATTGAAACGCTTCTGGCCCTTGGTGACGAGTGATACGCTGTTTAGCGATGCGGTAGTCTGCGATGAGGATGTCGTCGTCGAAGTACTTGTTTTGAGTTTGAGACTCCCGTTGACTAAGGCCCAGATGAGCTCTAATATCTTGAGTATTGGTACGAGATTGACGCAGGTTGGACTGGCGCTTCTTGGGAGGCATGACAAGTGGTATAGGTAGGTTGTGTCAGAAGGGTATAGCGTAATTGTGGCGAGGACCTGACGTCGGGTGTCATGGGTGGTGCTTGTTATGGGTTAGAGAAATCAGCCTGGAAGACGCGACGACGTAACGTTGGAGCACGCGCTTTCATTGGCTCTAGCTGATTTTCGGCTCTTTCCGGCCAATCACAGGGCTGGGATTCGGTGTACATTGGCGTTGCTAAGGGGCCAGTCTTTACGTCAACCACGACGCGTTTGAACAACGCCCACGAGGCCTTAAAGCGTCGCGAGTAGCACCATAGCTTCAAGATCTCTACACCAACCACCATGGGCAACTAGACAGTCAAGATGGGATGTCTGGATCTGGACAGAGCTTGGAAAGTATGATCTTACGAATATGTAGAGGTATACGGAGGCTGTGAGATTGTGTACGATCGAAAGGTTTTGATGTAGCGGCAGAACTCCGGAGGAAGGGTCAAAATGTTCGAAGGGTCGATTTGTTCGTAGCATGGAGGTGAGACTCCATCTACTGATCATCATTGACGTCGATTACCGTCTTCTTCCACTTCCGAGCCTGGACCTTGCGGGTGAACAAAATGTCAATCTCGCGGAAGGACCTGTTCTTCATTTCGGGAATCCAGATCCAACTCATGACGGTACATATCAACGCAGTAGCAGCCCAAATATACCCACTCTTACCTCCGAGGTTCCACTTGTCGGTGTTGAGCATATAGCTCGCAAGGAAGATGCACGGGATGTTGACCAAGTAATATGCGGCACGTCCAACACCAGTCGTCAATGGTCTCAAGCGCACAGAAGAGGTTTCGCCAATGATAACCCAGGAGGCGGGAGCTGGACCAAGGCAGAAGAGGACCGAGACGATGAGGCCGAGGGAAGCTTGCGCGTTTGAGGCTGCTGTGCTGCGACCAACGGAGGCGGCGATACCAAGCGCAACCAAGAAGGCGCAGGCAATAGCCTGGCCGTAGACATAGATTGTACGGCGCCCCAGGTAGGTGGTCAGGACCCAGGAGACCATGACCATAATCCATTGTAGTGCAGAGGTGATGAGGCCGAGTGCGAAGGCGGTGTTGTCTGCCATGCCAGCCTCTACGATGATGTTAGTCTCGTATGAGCACATGCAAAATGATCACACTTACGTTTGAAGAAGTAGACGGCTTGGTTGGCAATCAGATTGCCCGTCAGGTTTTGAGATGCATACACACCGCACACGATTAATGTGCGATAGCGATCGGTGCCCTTCCACAACTCAAGGAGAGTAGGCTTCTTCACCGTCTTCTCAAGTTCAATAGTGCGACGCATCATAGATACTTGATCTTGAGGATTGTCGCCTGCGTTGGCACGGCCAAGACGTTTGACAGCTTTCTCTGCGTCAGCCAGCCTGCCCTTTCGCACCAACCACCAAGGCGATTCAGGTGCAATGAATAGGAGGATAGCGAGAGGAGTCGGGAACATCCACTGGAGTGCGATGGGAACTCTGGCAACACTGTTATCATAACGCACCCTCATGGCGAAAATCAGTATAGAACATACCTGTAAGAAGAGGCGTTGGGCTTGGACTGGAAGTGATAAGTGATACCACCAACGATAATTGAGCCGATTGCCCAAAACATTTGCAACATCTGCGTTGCCGGCGCTCTCAATCTCATTGGCACGATCTCCGAACAATAAGCAGGAGCATTAGCGATAAAAATGCCCCATGGGATGCCTTCCAAGACTTGGGAGGCGAAAAACATGCCCTGACTGTTACTGAAATAGAACACGAAGATGAAACCATTCAGGGCCATAAGGCCGCCGATAGTTGCCCAACGGTAACCAATCCAGGAAGTGATGGGACCAGCAAGGAAGCAACCGATGAAAGCGCCGACTGGACCAGCACATTGAAACGCCGATTGCCAGGAGGCTTCGATAATATAGTCGCCACTGATAGGGCTGTAGACGCCGAAATCCCTAGCGAACTGCTTCGTAGCTATGAATTGTCCCATCAGGAAGACACAGTAAGACTCCATGATCTAGACACAGTATGAGAAAGTGATTGGCTCTATCGTTCATCGGAGACAACATACGATAGTGCACGACATAATAAAGGCCCAGAAACTGGCAGCAGGATAAGCCTTGACGGCCTGCAGCACTGTCATATTGTGTTCGAGGTTCTCGGCATCGATGGCACCAGCTCTGTCCAAGCCGGATTTTTCGTCGAGATCGTAGGGTGATGCGGCATTGTAGCCAGGCTGCGCCTCGATCTCCATCGCTAAAGTCGGCTTCTTGTGGACGGTGTTATTCATGTTGGGCGAATTACCTGCCAAAAGTAGTAGGAAAGATGACAAGACTTGGGACAAATTGAGGGAGGGGGACCGACTGGATCTGGGGACTTTATGCACTAGGGTAGAAGGATCGCTCGTGCGAAGCCCGACGAGGGTCGGGGTATTGCGAGAAACTGTGGAGATTCCGGGGCGCGGGGTAGTAACGTCCGGGGTAAATCGTCACCGGGGCGATAAGCAAGTGGTGTCAACAGATGCCTGACCTTGGCTCCTCGGCGTATTCAGTAGCGGACCTGTTTGTCCCGTCATCCGGTAAGAGACGACAATCCCCTATAGCTCAGTTAACCAATAGAGAAAACACTCAGACACTTCTCATGATGTGATGACTTTCCTGCGAGCGAGGACGTGGGCTGCCCAAAGAGCCCTCTAAGGCCCATCGCGCCGAGTATCACGCCTACGGTACATCTTGAACCCAATCCTGATTTTTGCTCTCGCTCATCATAAGCATATGCCGAAGCCCTACAAAGCGTTGGCGACGACTTTAGGTCCACGGGCTCTTAGTGATTGACCATGGTTTTGCGTTGTACCCCCTGCAACTCTCTCGGGCGCAAAGATAGCGATGCCTAGACGAGATTCGACCCATGCTCCCGAAGAAAGTGAAACGAGGAACTACTACTCATAGTATAGTTGTCGTCAAGAGCATCGATTTGCTTCTTCAGCCGGATGTTCTCGAACGCGTAGATAGATAAACCCATCGTTGCTAGTCTCCAAGTTCCTGTTCTATCTAGCAATATTCGCAGTGACGGCTAGAGTCCAGAGACTGTGCGATCCTAGCAAGCGAGCATCTCACGAGTACATGTACAAGAGTTAGAGGACAATGCATGGACAAGATGTCCCATGCGATATGCGGCACATCAATGATTTGCCTGTTTGCTTGCATTGATGCAAGTGGACACGACTTGTGCAAGAGCTACCCCGCTCATCTCCGCTTTTCGCTCGGTCTTCTGGGACAATGTCATCCGTCCACCTCTTGATTGTCTTCCGGTTTAGGGTTAGCAAAACTTTCCATACATTACTATAAAAGCTATATTATGCTCCTAAACTTACAAACCTAGATGTGGTAAGAGAACAGGTGGTCTACCTTCTCTAGATCTCTTAGTACTAGTTAATGTCCTGGTCCTGTTGCAGGTCATCCTAGTCTTGTTGCAAGTCGTCCTCGTCCTGGTCCTGTTGCAAGTCGTCTTGAGGCATCGGGTCCTCGGGTTCGGGGGTGGCTTGGTCTGACGGAGGCGATGGCTCTCGCGGTAGTCTTCAGAATAGCTTCGCTGGCAGGAACCTCTGTAGGGTGATGTCTGCAATTGTTCGTGAATGCTGAGATGCCAGGCTGGTTGTTTCGGCGTAGAGGGTGATGCCTAGTCCTCCAAGTCTTGTAGGTAGTGCTACGAGATCTTGGTCCAGGGGTTTGCTGTCTGTTGAGCCTTGCAGGTATTTGACCATTTGTAACAGCCTTCGGTCAATATCTTGGAGCTCCTCTTGCAACTCTTGTCCTTCCAGGGTTCTAGGCAGAGTGGTTCAGGAATGAAACCCACTGAAATCAGCTCTGATTTCAAGTTTATTTCGAAGCTTCGAAATCGATATAGCTTGATTTCAGTTTCATGTAAATTTCATTCCAATTTCAAAGTGCTATATAGCTATCTCGTCGTCGCTACAGACGTCATCAATATCGGCGAACTCAGCGTCCTGGATTGGTAGTTCATCGAACTTTTGATGCTTCCTCCAGCTCTTGAGACACTCTACCATCTCAACGTGCTCAAAGGTGATTTGAGATCGATCCCATGGTATTGCGCGTCGACAACTGCTGAAGACCCTCTCTGATTCAGCAGACATTGGATTGGCTGAGAGGACGTCTATAGTCATCTTTGCAAGGTTGGATATTGACGCTGTTGCTGAGCTTCGAGCCACCATTGTAGAGTGTTGCCAATGGCAAGGGGATCGCCTTGAACAAAGTGGTCAAACTCATTAGTGACCTTCTTAACAAGTGTAATAGATTGCTTCCAATCTCCAAAGCCCCGCTTGACCTGTGGTGTAGCACTCGAAGCAGGAGCAGAAGGAGGTCTGTAATATTGTCTCTTGTAAAGCGATCTTGCAGCTTGTTTAGCGTCTTGAATCCAGTCATCAGGCCAGTGGTGGTCGACATATGCAGCTCGATAGGAATAGTGAAGAAGGATGGCAGACTGGTATGCAGGCGTCTGGTCATTTGTTGCATACCACGACTCATAGACATAGCGACTTGATTGAAGTGCGGTGAGGAAGGGAGTATTGCCAGCGTACTCGAGCCTCGGGGGTCGCTTCATCGTAATGGATTCGAAGGCAGTCCATTGCAACGATGACCTATAAGAATGTTAGCAATAGCTAGGTGATGCGCACGATGATACTGACCTGCTCAAGGGTCGATTCGTTGCCCTCAGTCTCTTTGGTAAGCACCAGGAACTGCTTCAAAAAATCGTATGTATTCTGAATGACTAGCCAGTCCTCCTTGTGAAGCGCGGATTTTCTCATTTCTGGATACTTCCACTGCCACTCTGATAGAGTCTCATGGCATGCAAGCGCACGCTCAAACATGCGATAGTAGCTATTCCAGCGAGTCGAGTTGTTGGTGACAGGAACAAGGCCGGTGAGCGACTTGAACTTCTGCGCAAGGCGACGGGTGCTTTTGATGGCCTTCATTAAGCACTCGAGCAGGCGAACTGACTGATCTACAGCCCAACCAGTATCACTACGGGCAAGGACTGCTGCAGGGTCGTCTGGATTGGATCGCTTTGCCTTGTCAATTGCTTCCTCTGTTGCGTGGTTCCAGAAGGCTTGCAGGATCAGGTTGTTTTGATGACCAAAGCAGCGAGTCCTGTACTGTATAGGATCCCAGTTGATATTGATGCCCTCGAGAAGCTTTGAGAGTTCATCCATCATCGTGTCGTTGCAGGTCGCATTATCTGAGGTGATGTAGACAGGGTTCTTGACGTCCAAGGCCTCAATGGTCTCAAAGAGACAAGGCGCAGTAGGCTTGCCGGCGTGGCCATTGGGTAGGTCGTGTAGGTTCAGGAGTGCTTTGCTCAACCTACCATCAGGTGTGACCCATCGACCAGTCACTGCGAGCAGTTCCAGGTTACCATAGTTCGATATCCAGCTGTCAATTGTGAAGTGGATCTGGGACTTTAACTGCGCAATGGACTGTCTAAGTTGGTCCTGCTGAACGTATTAGAGACGCTCGATGTGCCTAGCGACGGTAGTATGACCCTTAATCAGGTCGTTGTTATTAGTAGCACGTCGAAGAGCTTTATAAGCGACATTAAACGAAGTAGTCCTTAGTATAAGCCTCGCCCTTAAACCTAGTAACTATTAACCACTTCTATGTCAATTTACGACACTAAGCGACCGAGCAAGTGTTAGTACCTGCTCCTACTATTGTTCTAAATATACGTTAGGTCTCGCCTGTCCCTATTAAGCTTAACACTACTATTAGTTAGGATAGCTTCTAGGAGGGTGTTAAACTAGCTTACCTAGACTAGTTAGGAGGCTTTAATAGGGCTAAAGTAGCACTTAATTAAGACTACTAGAACCTCCGTATACTATTTAATTCGTCTAATAAGTAACTATCTCGTGTCGTTAAGTAAAGCGGCCTTCGTATAGTGATCTATAAGGAATTAACGAAGTTCGTCGATAATTATAAGTAGAGCTAGCGTAGCTCGAATTAGACAAGTCCCTAGCGTCGTCTAAGTAACCCTACCCCTCGCTATGGTGTTGCTAGCGCTACTTCTATTACCTTAAGCTCCTCTTTCTCCCCTTATAATAGCTCTAACGGTTAGATTTAATGGTATATAGCTCCTCTCAAACAGGTTTCTAATGCTAATACCGTCTTAAGCCTAGTAAGCTACGCGCTTAAGATGTAAAATCCATTACGCTATATACGCCTCCGAGTCTATGTCGTTAGCCCTTAGCGCTAGATCCCTCTATCTACGTAGCTATTGTTTTAAGAGGTAGAACGTCTATTTAATAGGGTTAAGGTATAGTAAATATGGCGGCAGGTATAGTAGATGTACACTAAACTAGCGGCCTAGTTTAGTAATCTATTAGGTGTTAATTTACTATAGCGTCTATACTAAAATTTACTATATACCTTATCTAAGTAATAGGTCGAGTAGTTATCTATAATAACTATCGACCTTTTTCTAGGGGAGGGCTCGTATTAAGGTAATACTACGGTCTCTAGCTAGTACTCGTATATCGCTTAAGTAATAGCTCCTTCGACGACGAGAGTTACTCTAGGTATATACCTATAAATATCTAGCGTAGGCAGTACTAAACACCGAGTTTTATTTATTAGCTCTAACCTTATATACGCTAGTAGGCCTATCTAACTCTAAGATCTATTACGGAAGAGGACCTTCTCGCTTGCTATAGACTTATTAAGAAATAAGACCATATTAAGAGGGTTAATACTAACTTTAAGGCCGTAAGCTATTAGGTTATAGAGCTCCTTAAGATATACGACTTATTAAGAGGTTAATTAATAAGCTACGATACGAGTATTAACCTTCCTTAAGAGCTCCCCCTTAGCTAGTAGTCTATAGACGGTCGATTTATTAACCACTATATCGAATTAATACTATAATTTAAAGACTAGCTCCTCTTACTAAAGATCGTTCCTATAGTAGAGTAGCTCTATAAGATACTTACGTATAACTAGTATTATCTTTCTTAGAGCGCTATAGCGCTTTACTACTAAAGAAGGCTTCTAAACCTAGCTAAAGAGCTCTATATTCTACTATATATAAAAGACTATCCTTTACGCTATATAGGGCACTACTTTAAGTACGGTATTTACGTCGTAATTATCGTAGAATATGGCCTTAATAAGGTCCTTATCGTATTCGTTTAGAGGCATAATTATAGCTTAAGTTAGACGCTATACTACGTACTTAAATTAGCGCTAAAGTCGCTTAAAAGTCGATATTAGTAGAAGGACGTCTACCTATAGCTATTCTACCTTTATAATGACGACGAGAGCTATATAGACTATATATAACGGTTAGGAAGCTATATAATAGTTAGATTAGAGCATTAAGTTTAAAGGAGGGGGTAGCGAAATGCTACGAATTCTATAACTAAGAATAGTTACTAGGGTCTAGTATAGGGAAGCTCCTAGATCTGTTATACGGTACGTCTTTAGCATAATTATTACTATATAGTAGAGGAACCATTTCTATAAGAAAACGCTTAAAATTTTGTATATAGATAGATATATATTAAAGAACTATATAGTACTAATTTAAGCCGATTCCGAGTTTATTAAAGTAAAGGGTTCGGCTTTTATAGAGTAAAGAGTTCGGGTTAAAGTGATAATCCAAAACCTTAATTTTGTGTAGGGTTTTAAAGGGTTCGACTCTAACCCTCTATCTTCTAATGTTAGCGGCTATACGTAAGTAAGATATATAACTAGTAGCTAAGCTACTCGGTATAGAAGAAAACGCGGTATAATCTTCGGTTTATCCTATTATAACTACGACTTATAATATCTTATAACTATAGCGACCTATCTATAAATGATATAGACGTTACGGTCCTATATAAAGCCATTCTTAAATCGTATACTTATAATCTCGGTTCCTTATACTAGTTAACCTATAGTAATATATACGTATAGTAGTAGTAGTTCCTAGACTTTATCTACGTATCGAAGCCATTATTATATATGTCTAAGCTACTAGTGTCCTATTCGACTACGTAGCTTTCGTCTATTTCTATAATCTTTTACGCGGCCTAGTATTACTTCTCGTTTATCTTCGAGCCTATTTATCTTATTATTTAGAAACGAGATTCTACGCTTTATATAAGTTAGGTCGTCTTCTAGATTATTAAGTAGGATACTAAACCTATCTACTTTATTATTACTCTATATAACCTTACTCTATAAGATGTTTTCTACGTCTATTACTATACTAGTTACTATTAACTTAAACCGAGTAACGGGTATCTTATAGCTATAAAGTAATATAGTTTTATTACTACTATCCTAGAGAACTACGCCCTAGTTGCTATAATCTCGAGTAATAAGTTTACTATAAGCTAGAAGACTAAGCATCTTACCTATTAGACTATATCTACTATTAGCTAGATAACGTTCTTATATCTTAAGAAATCTTCTATCGTTATCCTTACCCTAATAGTCTTATTTAGTTAATAGTAGTATTACCTTAACTATAAAGATGCATATATAGTATACTACTCTAGCTAGTATATATAAGAAGTCGTTCGCTTTATAGAGTCGACCTATCTCCTCTAAAATACTAAGTATAGCTAGAAAGTGTAATAGTCTACTACTAAAGACATCTCTATAGATAGTAATAAAGATAAAAGACTTAATAAGTCTAAGTAGAGTATCTATTCTTATACTATTATTACTATACGGCGTCTATATTAAGCTCTATAGTTCCTTAGTAAGAGTCTTTTAATTATCCTTCTATAGGAATAGTCGGTAAGCGTCTACTATATAGTTATTAGTTATTACGCCTTTCTATTCCTTACCGGTATAAATAGTTATATTATTTAAAGTGCTACTATCTAAGTCGTCATTATTATTACTACTACTATTACTATCGCTTCTAGTATTACTACTCCTAGTGTCGCTAATAGAACTACTATCTAAAGCTCCTCTAGTTCGGTCCTACTAACTACTTATAATTTTAGCTTAACGAACGTAATTTCTATAGATATACTTATCTTAACTTTAAACAATTCTTATAATATAGTAGATAAATCTCTTCTAGTAGCTAGTATAGCAAAGTTAAGACTTAGGGTTTTATAGCCTTAAAAGCGGTCTAATATTAGCTTTAGACCTCTTTATACTTTATAGCTATCGATAGGTTTCTAGATTAGGTATTACTAGACTAGTAACGTATTTCTCGACTAGTGATTTAACTAGTCTTGAAACGTGCTATAGTTCTTATTTATCTTTATTAGCTAGCTAACTTCTATTTAAGAGATGTCTAAAATTACTTCTAGTAAGATGCTATAGATATCTAGTACGCTTAGACTAGAGCGAATGATCTAGTTTTATAATATTACTATTAATAATCTTAAGATCTCTATCGTATTATATCCTTACTATATTCTATTCGTCTAAGATTTATAAAGTGTCGAGATTACGCTATTATCTTATTATAATAGTATCTCTAAGATTGTTATTTAAGACTTATAAACCTTCTATAATGTCGTCTCCCTTATAGTTAATAGTAAAGTACCGTTATTAACTACCTATAGAAGAGAAAGACTATACGTAGACATAATGCTAGTACTCTCTATTATCCCTTATTAACCGCTATTTATACTTTTTGTTATAGTGCTTATAGACCTTATCTTAACTAATAGTAATATAACTATACTCTTCTTTATTATAGATAAATACGTCTTATAGTCTACTAAGTAACTAAATTAGGGGCTCTAGTAGCGGTAGTAATTTTACTTAAGTCGGCTATAAGATGTTTAAGTAAGAGAATGCCGTAACTATAGTAGCTTTCTCTTATATAGTCCTACTATACTTAGTACGTAGATAATTGCTAAGATTAGATATAGCATAGTAGTAATGTTTATAGATAAGCACTTTATATAGTGTCTTATACTTAGGGTTTATAAAGATTAAGCATAATTAACCTACGTTACGCCTAATCTCTAAGCGATAATCCTATTAGGTCTTACGTTAACTAATACTTATTTTACTAGAATATAACTTAATAGAATATATATTACTTTAAACTTACTTCTATTAGATATTAAGTATTTATAAGTTATTCTTAGTTAAGATCTAGACTATCTATTCTTACTCTTTATTCTTACTTATAAGATTATCTAATCTAGATAAGGCTAACCGCTTTTAGCTCTATCTCTACTAAGAATGTTCGGATTATACTAGGTAGGATATATTAGTTACCTATACGTAGCTTTCTAAATTACAGGTACTTATTGCATAGAGGATGGTCGAGATATGACGCTTATATGAGATAACTTGCTAAGCGTCTGCGACTCGACATCTTCCAATTGCGCCCTCCCATGGTCGCAATCTTAAAAGGTCGTTCGAGTTCTGGTTATGGGAGCCAAGCTCATAATTACCAATGATCCACTCCTGAACATCGACCTCGCGCAGTCCCAAGTACTCCTTATGCTTTCCTGTCAAATTTGTAACAGTTACAAAACACTCATCGTCAGTGAAGCGACGGAATGCGACAACGTCCTTATCTTCTGGATCCAGGATCTGGAAACCACCATAGATGAAGACGTCCTTGTGTTCTCGACGAAACTTCAGGCAGCGCTTCCAGTACGATAGGACTGACTCAGTGTCAGGAACCTGTCTCGCCGCGTTCACATTGGGGTAGTCATCATTGACTCGCATCCATGGCTTGATATGCGATTTGCAGAACCCAGCATGCGGTGATGAGTTCCATTGCATCGGAGTTCTGGTGTGGTCTCTGGCCTTGAGTTGGAGTAGCGCGCGTGCCCAATCCAACTTGCGATGGTTGTTGGCATACTGTATCGAGGCACTGTGAAGCAAATAAGTATTTGCTTAAGACGGCATGAAACGTTCATGACTCACGCTTCCCAATAGTTTTGCGACTCGACATCCTTGTATTCACCAATGGCCCAGTCACGAGGAATATTCCTCATGCCTAACTCTTGGCCTTGGTAGACGTATTCAGTTCCTCCAAGTGTGATGGATTTGGTGCAAAGCATCTTCGCAGAGAACTCACGCCATTGATCGCTATCGTCGGCAAAACGAGAGATAGATCGTGGACCATCATGGTTCTCTGTAAAGACAGCATTCCATCCGCCACGTTTAATCATCAGATTCTGGGTCTGGTCATGGATTCGTTTCATGTCTGTAGCGTCCCACTCTTGATACGACCACTTGGACTGACCAGGTGAATTGTCCATGTTCAAGATCTTGAAGAGGAATATCATGTTGAGTGGTCCTTGCATGCCCACAGTCCGGATGATCTCGTCCTCGTCGTTAATGAAAGGCATCTCGCCAACGGTGATCGTATCGTATTCATCAAGCACAGTCCTGATCTCGCCTAGATACTCATACAGCCTGGGCCCATTAGCGTAAAAGGCATTACCAGGCTGGTAGTATTGACCGGGAATTGTCTTTTCGGCATCCGGAAAATCCGGAGTCTTCGAGATGTGGTCGATGACATCCATTCGAAATCCGCACACGCCGCGCTCTAGCCAGAAGCGGATGATGCTATGGACGGTATCACGGACGTCTGAGTTTTCCCAGTTGAGATCCGGCTGCTCTGGTGAAAATAGAGACAAGTAATACTCTTGGGTCTTCTCGTCCCACTGCCAAGCTGATTTCGTGGTGTCCAAGATGCGGCACCAGTTGTTTGGAGGCATACGTCTACCGTCTTTATCGACTTTGCCCTTTCTCCAAAAGTACCAATCTCTCTTGGGGTGGTCTGTGGAGGAGCGGGAGTCGAGAAACCAGGAATGCTACACAGAATTAGACTCAACGGCAACGAGTGCTGTGCAAAGAGCGTCACCTGGTCCGAGGTATGGTTGACAACCAAATCCATCATGAGCTTCATTTCACGCTTTCCGAGCTGGGCGATCAGGTTGTCCACGTCCGCGAGAGTTCCATAACGATGGTCAATGTCGGTGTAATCAGAGATATCGTAGCCCATGTCGATCTGTGGACTCTTGTATACTGATGGGCTGTGAGCTGAGTCTGTCATATATCTCTGCATACTTACTTGGTGACAACCAGATCACATCGACTGTGACACCGTTAGCGAGGCGCTTGATTTTGCGAAGCAACACTTACTCCCGAGCTCCTTCAGGTAGTCAAGTCTGCTCGTGATCCCGTTGACATCTCCAAAACCATCATCGTTGGTATCTTGGAATGAAGCTGGATAGATCTATCTGACGTTAGTCGTGAACGCAAACCAAATCCAAGCCTAGACACTGTGTAGCGTACCTGATATACCACACATTCCTTCCACCAGGCGCGCTGTCGCTTGGAAGGCTCAATCTTTGACATATTGTCCGGCAGACTCCTGGCGTTGGGAAAGTGTTGGTGTCGGAATTTAGCAGAGATGTACCGTCGAGAAATTGGTAACGACGAGGCGCGAAAGATATTGTGGGCAACCGTCGGCCTGCGGAAGATTTGCATAGGTTGAGCTCGATAGTAAGGCGCGATACGCACAGAATGTGAACGGTGAGAGACCGGGTCCAGCTGGCTGTCAGTACTTATTTGGAACGATTATGAAATCAACGCCATCTCGAAAGTACTTCGATAAATCATATTAGTCTGTCATCATGCAGCAATCTGGGTCTCCGTGTCCATCGGTCGTTCAAGCATCATGCACCCACCCCTGTCATATTAGAGGCCTGTCGCGTGTCAAAGTATCATTCCTTCTCGGCATTGTTTTCGTTCCAGTGTGCTTCGTTTATACCCCTTGATCTTGCTCGTTTTGGCAATCGAATGTTGCGCATGACGCTAGACCCTGTCACCAGAATCCCATCACGACGTCACGCTTCGATGGTCAAACTCGTCCAAGGCACCTGACGTGCTTATGTATGCCTGAAAAATAAGAGCGACGGAATGGAAACCATGACGATCGAAGCGACCCGCAAGATGAAGAAAGACCGCAGCCGTAGACGAGATGTGGAAAAACAAGCGAGTGAGTGAGAGATAAGAAGTCAGGGCGACGAACGAGAGCCCAGGTAGATGGAGTGACCAGAGAGATATCAGTTTGTTTATGTAAATGACAAGAGCTAGAACGCTATTCTATCATGCCGCACATGCGCATTTCCACATCCAAGCCAAGTAGCCATCTCTCTAGCGCACTCTCATCCATATCCCTCAGCCATTGCGCTGTCTCGTTGCGCACTTCTGCAGCAAGTTTCTCGTAAGCTAATTTGTCGCTCATAAGCTCGTTCAAGGTTTTCGCCCATGGTTCGATATCTTGCTTAGGGACAACATAGACGCCGTTCGCATCGCGAGTTCCATCAATAGGCTTCACTGGAATGCTGTGAGCTAGACCGCGCATAGCCTCAGGCAGCGCACCTGCGTCCGAGCAGATCACTGGGATACCGCGAAGATGGGCCTCGATGACAACAATGCCCCACGCCTCGTACCAGACAGAGGGTACAAGAAGCACTTTGATTTCTCGCCAGGCTTCGTTCATATCCGTGCACGACGGACGTAATCTTCGAGCAGTGTGTCAGTCTTGCATGTCACACGCTCACGATATAGTACTCACGTCACGTTTTTCAAGCAGTACATCTGCTTTGCCAGAGCATCATCGAAGCCCCAGCTTTTATACACCAGAAACTCGAGATGGGGGCAAGCTTCAGCAAGGCTCAGGAGGATACTGGATCCTTTGACCGCACAAGGATTAATCATACCAACAAAAGGCTGGTTCCAGTTGTGCATCTGAGTCGGTAGCTGGTGTTTGACCTCCTCGAGATAAGTCCACGGATGGTGCACGAAGAATTTTGTCTGCAGCTGACCATACTTCATCGCGTAGTCCTGTATGGCTTGGGAGACACTCCAGATTCCGTCGAGCTGTCGAAGGAGGTCGAATTCTCTCGGAGAACTCGCGTGTCCCGGCAAGCCACCGGCGAATGGTCCAAAAGGCAGTTGCTCGGCAGTGTGGACAACAGCAACGCGACAAACCTCCATGTCAGGAAGCTCAAGAGTACTGGTGGCTTGCATCGACAAACCATCGTTTGAGATGATGTGCGTGGGGGCGAACCTTCTGATCTCATCCTGCAAAAACGTCACAAAATCAGACATCGGGGCAGATAGTTCTCCTTTCTGCTCGAGATTGTCGTTAGTGAAATGTCCTTCGACACGCCATGGTTTCCAGATCCGGATATGTGGAATCTTGGTACCTCGATGTAATCCGCAGTTTCCCTGCCCATCTCTTGGTGTAGATTCTCTTTTCCTCCAAATGCAGCGTCGAATGCTTCTTTCTGCAGCGCAATAATCTCCACTCCGTCTTTCATCGTCAAGTGTACGACATTTACTTCGACGTCAGCTGCGTCATTTGCCTTGCGCATTAGAACTGTTCTTCGACGTAGGCGAATATCGTGCTCATTAGCCCGGGCCATCGTTTGGACGTAATCCTCAACTTCATTCTCAAGGAAGTAACATAACTGTCGAACCGAGTGGCCCCTCGAGGCAAGATGGCGCAGTAGACAAATGTTGGCTTTGTAGCCTCCTGAGGAAGAAAAAAGGCCACGAGCGGTCTGGATAAGGAAGACCCGCATGGACGAACATTCCGAGCTCTCCAAGGAGGTGACTGACGTGTCATCGGAGAGTGAGAATGATGAGTCAATGGAGGAGCGAGACTCCATAATGAAGTGGTCAAAGAGAACAAAGAACAGACGTCGGAAGCTGGGACAGGTGAGTAAAACTTCTTGTGAAGGCGAATATGCACCGCTATTTGTACATACAGAACACCGACCAGCACGCTTTGCCCCAGTGTAAAGCTGTATGACCCTCTCGAGGATATCTGCTGTAGGTCATATTGGTACATCCTGGGCGATATAAGGTTTCATTCTTTCTTCCGCTACTCTCTACTGTTCTCAACTACCTGCAGAGAACACTAAAGACCCCCAGGCGGTCGTACTTGTCGCTGCGCAAAATCAAAGGCTACGCGCTAGACGAGTGGGCCTTTTTTTGAACGCTCCTGAGCCCTCGCTCTCGTCTCTCAGGGTGCGGATGCTGCAATCTCAGAAGCCCATCCACAATTGGACGTGCACCTCTCGTACTCACATTGTTGATGACAGTCAGCGATGACGAAGACGGCCGAGCCCACCGCAAATCTTCGAGATCGAAAAGCCCGCCGCAAGAACTCAAAGTTTGTGAACGCATATGGAGTTTGACGAATCCTGAGGTTGTTCTGATGGAGAAGGGACCGCTCTCCGTCACAGGTCGAGCTACTTCCGAAGATCGGCATGCGCGACACTGCAATCGTGTCCAACACCGATATTAGCTTTTGCTTTACGATACTTGCTCAAGCTTTGCCATCACTTGTGATCGTGGATGAAGCGAACTGTGCATTCTCGTACCGTAGGCGCTCAACGTCATTGGCAGGTACGAGAGCGAGACGGAGATGCTACGCTTGTGAGGGCCCCACAAGTAGATACCTCCAAGATGTACATGTTCTCTCCACGAAGCGTATGCGGAGAGGATGCCGCCAGTCCACGGGTACGACCTCGCCGAGTGGAGTGCCGAATAACGTCCCCTATTTGGCTTTCGGCTTCTGTAGAAATTATCGATCAAGACTATCTCGAAGCCTTTTTTCTGGTAACATGACCTCATTGCCACGCAAGTACCTTTGTCTTACCAGTGGTCTGATCAAATCACGGCCTGTAAGTTTGGCTCACCGCAGGTCACAGATTCGCGCTTTGAACCTTTTTGTGGCCATGGGATGAACGAACAGGACAAGGTGGTCGCTCCCCAGATGGACTTAGCTTGTCACCGCTATACGAGACATACCCAGGACAAGCGTCCAGCTTGAATTCTGCCTGGCGTGATCAGAAACTCAATTCCTTGTCTCTCGTTCAAGCAGATACCTTGCATCAGACTTCGACGAGAAAGATAGGACGCGCACAAGACAGCTGAGGGAAACAAACTCTCTGTGATGGAAATGACACATTTCCAACAACATATAAACCTGCTGCCCTCCCCTTGGTGTCAATCCCGAACACCATCACTTTGATCCTTAACCCAGACTTGACAGAAATTCCAATCTGAAAATCATGCCCGAGGTAGCAACCAGGTACGAGGCGCTTCCACGACGCACTGCGCGTTGTGTAGCAGGCTGACCGGAACGAAGCAATGTTGTCACCACTGACTACAAGCCGCATCCTCACGACACGATGAAAGCCGCTCAATGGATAGGAACAAAGCAGATTGAAGTCGGCGTTGTTCCCAAGCCCATGATCACTGCGAACAAAGATGCGATCGTCAGAATCACTCACTGCACCATCTGCGGTTCCGATCTTCACATGTATGTTGGCGAGCTCAACTCAGCCATGCAGAAGGGCGACATCATGGGTCATGAGGCTATTGGCATCGTCGAAGATGTCGGTTCAGAAGTTACAACGCTTCAGAAGGGCGACCGCGTCATCATCCTCCCGGTCATTGCCTGCGGAGAGTGCTTCTATTGCAAGCGAGAGGAATACTCACTCTGCGACAAAACTAATCCCAGCAAGGAGATGGAAAGCATGTGGGGACATCGTCTTTCTGGCATCTTTGGATACTCACACCTTACTGGCGGTTATCCTGGCAATCAGGCCGAATGGTGTCGCGTTCCTAATGCGAATCTGACTTGCGTCAAGGCCCCCATGAGTGTCGACGCCAGGAAGCTCGTTGCTCTTGCTGATGTCACACCCACTGCATGGCACGGTTGTGAGCTTGCAGAGGTATCGAAGGGGGACGTGGTAGGCGTCTGGGGTTGTGGAGCGATTGGACTGTCCATTCAAGCACTTTCTCTCTTCCGTGGTGCAAAGACAGTCTATGCCGTTGACAAGGACCCCGCACGTCTCGCCATTGCCCGCTCCTTGGGGGCCATTGCGATCGACATCAACGAGCATTCTGATGTCGCCGAGTACATACTCTCCATCGAGCCCCACGGACTGGACAGAGGCATCGAGGCCAGCGGATTCCGAAGCGAGACGTCTGTAGCCCACACTTTGATGCGCAAAGTCGGTCTCGAAGGCGATCAAGGCGATACTGTGACTTCGATCATCAAGAGCACCAGAAAGTGTGGCAACATTGCCCTCATTGGAGATTTCTTCTTTAATACCAACCAGTTCCCCATTGGTATGCTCATGGAGAAGACCATCACCCTTCGTGGTGGGCAGCTCATGGCCCAGAAGGTAGTGTTTCCAAAACCTGTAGGCTGCAGCCGACACTGACTATATCTGCACAGTACTTTCCGTATCTCCTCGATATTGTCGTCAAAGGACAGTACGACCCGTCGTTTGTCGTGACTCACACAGGTATGTATCAGTGTCTCGGATGAAGTCATGTTTCGGGCACTGATCGCGTCGTAGACAAATTCGAGAAGATTCCCGAGAGTTACGCGCTCTTCAACGAGCACAAGATTCCTGGTGGATTGAAGGTGTGTTTGGCCACGGAATATGGAAGATCACTTGGCTTGTCTGCTTGATGGTGCTGAGTTGAAAGCGTTGGGAAACGCTTTGGAGAGTCCGTGCTACTGCCTGTGTGTGATGTATGTCACTTCTGATGGTGTTGGCGCATCACAGTCGAAGATAGACCTTGGTATATGTGGGTGGCACGCATTGAGTCCGTGACTGCCAAGCTCTGGCCGGTTGTTGTGTGCTGCTACATTCTCTGGCAGTTAGACGTCATGGTTTGATTCTTGTGCCACCGGGTGATGGTATCGGCATGGCCAGAGGAAGATGTGCCAGGACGCGAAGAGATATGTGTCGAGTCGAGCTGGTGTTCAAGAAGGAGGGCGGTCATGACGGCCGAGTCTTGGCACGGCCCCCCGGACTTTCCATTGCTTGTCGCGTGTTGACCTCTAGGGACCCTCGGACCTTCGAAGCGCTCTTGTTTGCGTCTTGACTTCCCAAACGCACATGTCTTTCACACCTGCACGACAAGCCCATGACGCACCTCGGGCTCATCGCTCGCTCAACCATTGTACAGCATGTCGAATAGGCCGGCTGGGTGAGCGGCGCAGCGTCCGACAGACGCGACAGCCCAAGACGTGTTACAGCTCGACTACTCGGTGAGCTGGCGTCGACGAGTGCTGCGGCTCGCTGCTGATGGCTGACTTTGCTCATAGACTCTACGTATGATCGTACCGGACGCAGTCTCTTCTCCGGCGGCTCAAGTCGTGTTACTCGGCGCACGCAGCGACGAGCGAAGGCGACAGGGTCGTCTTCGCCTGACACAACCGCCCCAAGCACCCCTCTTCTCGCCCGACACTGCCCTTGGATCGCCTCCGTCCAGCTCGCCGTTTAGTAGATGATGGAAAGAGATGCTTGGGACAGATCATCTCAGATGCACGTTGTAGAGAACTTGGACATTGCTGCCACGGACTACAAGATCACCAGCGACAAGCTACTCCAACTCTAAGACTTGGAGCATCTCCAGCATCTCCACACTTGGCCAGCAAACCGTCTCGGAACAACCCCCTGCGAGCTGATGGCCGTCAGGTTGATCATATTGATCAGAGCGCTGCCAAAGCCAAGAGTCTTTCGATTCTGGCTTAAACTCGACTTCTTCTGCCATGAGGAAGAAGTCGAAGCCATCCTTCACCTACATCGCAGACGTCCACAGTTTGCTGATTTCGACAGTCGCGAGGGCTATTTGAAATACCCCTCAAAGATCGCGGAGGTTGAGTCTGGAGGACTGTCTGACTTGACAAGGTTTCTCTGACGGGTAACGGGTATCACAGCCGAACTCCAGCATACTACTGCACTGAGAACGATATGGTTGAGCTGCTTTCAAGGGCGTTACGATACAACATCTTTACGGTCTTCTCCTCGCCGCTCGAAGCATGTCTCTGTAGAGTAGAACCATGTTCCTCTCGCATGAAGCACTCTATATCCGAACTGGAACGTCTATAGTATCCACATCCTGGTGTGGATATTCAGAACTGTGTCCGACCATCTCGCAAGATCGCGTCACTGACGGCTCGGGCACTTAAAAATGTCATGTTACTGGCAGAAGTTTCTGGCTGTGGTCGAAGGATGGTTGTCGCTTGCTGCATCACAGCCAAGCCACCGCGCAGCTACCTCTAGGCTCAATGCCTCATGCGCCATCACTGCCAACCAATCTCTAGAAGCAGGAGTACGCGCGTCAGGCTTCACTACGCCACTGAACGTGATGAAGCGATTGGTTCGGAGTAGAGCCTCTGTCTAGAAATAGCTGACAAGATTTCCACATCAGCTGTGAGCTGCCGCGATGCGGTGTATAGTTCGCTTAACCCAGATTCTCGTGATGATGGGTCATGGTACCGTCAGCAGCATGAACAGTGACTTGGTATAGATTCAGAGTCTAGGTCATGGGGGGTGCATGAGGTAGCGGTGACTGAAATGCCACGGTGAGAACTACAGCTGCAACAAATAGATGATGCTCTCTGTGGCTTGAGACACAATCAATGCATGATCATAAATTCTTTCCGACTCAGCCAGCCTTCCCCACAGATATACCTCGTCTGTATCTTGTGCACATTTGATCCATGTGAGCAATGCGTTGCTACACCACTAGCCAGGAAAATGTTCAGTGACTTCAGTACGCAATCGTCAGAACTGGACCATAACTTGCGCGTGCGTAACATACCCTGACTGTGATTGTTGCGACGGAGCAGACGGTACACACGCATAGGTTGTGTCTTGTGAATATCTGGAGCAGACACTAAATTTCCTGCTCATCGAGTTCTAGTATATGCTTTTGTCCTCCACAAGAATTACCTGGGGCATATTTCATACACCTGCCGTCGTTTGACTGAATCATGCACTTCGCCTGCGTCTTGGTCCGCTGGGACCCTAGGCTTGTGGACGGTCTCAACCGCCTAAGATCACGTTTGAACACACCTAAAGCGCCACATGCATGTGAGGAAAAAAGACAGAGAAACGGTATTTGCTCAGACGAATTGCTAAGACCAGGACGGATCATTCCAGCCAACGCCACTCAATCAGTGTTGCAATAGAGGTCGCAGAACATTCACTCGCTTTGTGGGCAGGGTCTTGGACGCTGTAAGTCGCGATGTCGAATGGAAGCCTCATGGGACAATGGTCCTGACGATCACAAAGATTGCGCAATTCGACGCCAAGGAGAGAAACAAATCAATAAACAGGTCAACGGAACATACAGTGTCGCTAAGGTAGGAGTAACTAGCGCTCCTGCCATTGGCTTGGTGATCATGAGAAAACACGTGGGGTTGGAAGACCGTCAGGCTGGTGGGATAAGGCTGGTCCCGCACCGGTAAAGCTTGTGCGATCAACCCTGGCGGGAAGGCCGAACACGAGAACTTGCTTTAGAGTGGCTGATACTGCAGGGAATGTTGTAGGCTGTGTCGTACGGCAGTTGACACCAACACAATCCACCTTGTGATATTCACCTTATCATTATCCCGTTTCGTATATCACAGCCACGACGCCTGTGGTCAACCCCTTCAGCTCCTCCAGCTCCTTCCATTTGTGTCACTAGATGAGAAGGCTCGGCCCGTGCCCGTGATGTACTCCTTAACCTGTCGCACATGCGACGAAGACCTCAGCACCACTCGCACCTCTTCTGGCTCCATATTGTCCCTGCACAACCACATATACACGGTCTGAAGTTCCTCAAACCTTTGACAGTGTGACAGTGGACGCATTTCGAACCACCACGAACTTGGTGGGAGAGACTTAATGGAGCAAAGCAGCCCACACTCCGAAGACGCTGCGCATCGGAAGAAGATTCAGAATCGCATCGCGCAAAGAGCTTACCGTGAACATATCAAGCAAGGGGTCATGGTTACAGTTCACTGACAAGTATGCAGGTCAGAGACTGAAATCGAAGATGGAGACGCTCGAAAGCTTCCGAGATACCGTAACGGCGGCAAAGTTGTCTGAAATCACCGCGACCTCCTCAGAGGTGGACCACGACACCTCGCATCGAAGCATCCCTCAGATCGTCAAGCAACTTCCAATAGCATCGTTCAACGTGCCGGTGCTTGAAGAAGCCTCAGGGTGTAACGAGTCTCTGTCCTACTTTGACATTCCCACGGCAATCACTCGACACGGCTTCCAGACACCGCCGATCGACAGTGCCAATACCTGCGATCCGGACGGAGACCCGTTGCCCCTCTCTTCATGGGATCTCGGCGAGCAGTTCTCCCATGCGCTAGGCCAGTCGTCATATCGCTCATCCACAAGCCGATCGCCGGGCTCGAATCTGCTGAGTGAGGTATGAGATCCTCTTTGCCTCTCTAGGCTACCTTGGCAAACACTGACATCCAGTCATTACAGCAGAGTGGTCTTAACACACCAGACGTCTCTCACGATGGTAAGACGGCGCTGCATGTGGCAGCCGAGAATGGCAGGTTGTTCACAGTGCAGATCCTGTTGCGATTGCAGTCCAATGTGCTTACGCAGGACTGGGCCGGTCGCACTAGTCTGCATCTCGCCGTGGACAGTCAACAACAAGACGTCGTCGAAGAATTGATAAAGCACCCATCGTGCCTTGATGTACAGGATAAGAATGGACAAACCGCGCTGCATATTGCAGCGGCCTATGGAAACCAGAGCATCGTGGCGGTTTTGATAGGTGCTGGCGTTATGCTCGAAGTCAGAGACGTAAAGGGTCAGACGCCACTACACGTTGTAGCAGTAAACGGGCAAGATAAAGTACTGCAGCTTCTGTTTATGAGAGGGGCAAATCTTGATGCGACTACGTGATCCTGACCTGGGTCTATGACAAGACTCTAGGTACGCTAACAGTCATGGAGACTATTGACCACTATCATTGCATACAAACATGATTATACTGAGTCTTGTGCTGTGATATCCGCGCTTTGGAATCAGTGCATCACAGGATATGACGAGAAATTTACGAGATAGGAAAACGTTGGCGCAGATCTCCGTGACTTGGTTCACCACCATGTCGATCGTACCACTGAGCGGTCCAAGCTATGTCGTGTTGCAACCAAGGAAAGATGCCAATATCCGTACAGGAGCCCATCAAGCGAACCACAACACGAGAAGGATACCCCGCCTGCATGTCAGACATGCAGACCTGCAGGGCAGCGGACGTTTTCGACAAAAGGTCCATGTCAGCTGCCAAGTTCTCATGCACCCTAATGTGAAGTTACAGAGGGGCTGAGTACATAGATAATCTTCCCGGCGATGGACAGAGTGGCAGATAGATACGTGCTGCTGTCTCCATCACCAGTTCTGTATCGCAGCGTCCTCAACATGGCAGACCTGGATTTTGCTTCTAAGCATGAGACTCATCCATTCATCGACGCATCCAATGCAAGTGTCATTGATGAAGATTTACTGCAGCGCTTCGAAGATGTGACTGGTCGGCGGCCGCATCGGTTTTTGCGTAGGGGTATTGTCTTCAGCCATCGCGGACTCGAAAAGATACTTGATAAATTCGAGCGCAAGGAACCATTTTACCTCTTTACTGGACGTGGACCTAGCAGTGAGAGTCTGCATCTTGGTCATTCAATTCCATCCGAGTTTACAAAGTATGTTTGATAGGCAGTTTTGCTTGCAGTCGATGCTAAACGAGATGTCAGATGGCTCCAGGACGTTTTTGATGCACCGCTTGTCTTGATGCTGACTGACGATATGAAACTATTGCACTCTCCCTCGCTGGCAGTGCCCACTGTCAAGCGATACACAATTAAAAACGCGAAGGACATTCTGGCTTTCGGCTTCAATACCCAAAAGACTTTCATGTTCTCGAATCTTGACTATGTTGGAGGATCATTCTATCAGAACATAGTCCGCGTCGCTCGATTGATCAAGGTCTCAGACATCAAACGGGCACTCGAGTCCGGGGACGAGCAGAACGTGGGTATGTTCTATTGCTGCTCGACCCAGAGCGCTGGAACTTTCGCAACTTCATTCCCCGGCATTCTTGGAGCTGATGTCACAGAAGAAGACCAAGAAACTCTGCAGGATATGCCCTGTCTGATTCCTTGCTCATGGGATATTGACGGGTACTTTAGTGAGGTCAGAAAGCACGCGGAGACCTTGGGACATCCACAAGCTGCATTCCTCTACTCCAGTCTTCTGCCCTCTCTGCAAGGAGCAGAAGCAAAGATGTCAGCTTCGGTACCAGTGTCCGCAATTTTCCTTACAGACGATGAGAAACTGGTGCGACAAAAGATTGAGCTTATATTTGCCAACGATGCAGGCTTCCACGCCCCAACTATCTTCGAGTACCTGAATTTCTTCCTGGAGGACGATGTGGAATTGTTGCGGCTGATTGATGGCTTTGGAAAGGGCGTTGTGGAGGCACGAGAACTGCAAGAGTCGCTCATTGACGCGGTGCAGCATGTTGTTGCCTCCTTCCAGGAGAACAGAAGCCACGTCACAGATGGCTTCCTGCAGCGTATCATGACACGGAGGCTGATAAATTGAGTAGCATGGAAACAGGCAGTATCATCAGTTATATGCTTGATTTGGTACACAGTTGGCGAAATTGTGACCATTCCTTTGTTTGTTTGCTTCCCAACAGACTTCTGTCCATTCCAAAAGAGTACGTTGCGTGACAAAAGCCAATCGAATATCCGGATCCTTACAGACTTTGTTACGCCATCAACACATAGTGCATGAGCTTACGTGATTAGCTGTGGGACGTACAAAAGTTTATGCACGTCAGCCCTCGATTGGCTGGAACATCATATTGAACTGTCGCACGCGAGCTCCTGACTTGATAATCGACCCCGAAAAACGCTGAATCGTCTATTCGGGTCACTTTCGCTTCTGACAAACTGTGTTCTTGCCTTTCTGCTTCCTTCCCCCCCTAATTGTTAAAGTCAACCGCCTCTACGACGAATCACCCATTCACGAACCTGTTCACGCCACGTTCTCAACACAATCTTTGTCGCAACATCAGTCATGAGCTTTGCAGAGAAGACAACCGCGCAAGCAAGCTCGTCTGCCGTCTGCCAAATGCCCGATGTCGGATACACTGCAAGTCCGGCTTCGGAGTCGATAGATTTGATCCCTGAGACTCGCAAATTGCAAGGAGTCGCTGTGCGTTACAACTCCAGCAACGTGAGATTCCATGCTTACTGTGTTATAGTGGTTTCTTGTGGTCCTCAGTATCTTGTCGAGCGTCCTGCTGTATGCCTTGGACAACACCATCACCGCCGATGTGATTCCTGTGCGAAAATGCCAGGCAAACAATAGGTCTGATTATAGCTGACCCTATTATAGGTGATCGTAAAAGATATGAGAAGAGTAGAGAAACTGCCATGGCTCTGTGTTTCGTATGGTTTCTTGTTTATGCACTGTTTTCAACCCTTCGCTGATAATATCACAGTTTCATGATCGGAGGTGTAAGTTGCGTACTTCCCTTTGGCAGCATGTACGCCATGTACGACGCGAAAAAGATGTACACAATCTGCATTCTGCTATTTTCTGTCGGTTCTGCGCTCTGCGGAGCAGCCCCGAACATCAACGCTTTCATCGTCGGTCGTGTCATTGCTGGCGTTGGTGGTATCGGGATATATCTGGGTGTCATGACGCTGCTATCGTGCAACACAACCGGCGCGGAGCGACCTCTGTATCTTGGACTTGTGTAAGTACAAGCATGATCCTGTGCTTTGTGAACGGAGTCCATAACAAGAGTCAAGACGTTGATATGCATAGTGGCCTCACGTTCGGTGTTGGCAATGTCATCGGTCCCCTCATCGGAGGTGCCTTCGCTGACTCGAGCGCTACGTGGCGATGGGGTTTTTACATCAACCTTTGCTTGATCGGGCTCCTGAGTCCTGTATATGTGTTTCTCATCCCGGGTCAAAAGCCCCAGCTTTCGCTCACTGTGCTCGCTGGGCTCGCTCGACTGGACACTGCTGGCGTGGTTCTCAGTATCGGCTGCCTGGTCTGCCTGGTCATGGGCATCAACTTCGGTGGAACACTCTACGTTTGGTATAGCACGCCAATCATCGTGCCGATGGTTCTTGCTGGGGTCCTGCTCATAGCCTTCATACTTCAGCAAAAGCTGGCACTCTTTACGACCAAGTCATGCCGCTTGTTCCCAGCAGCCCTCTTGACTAATCGGGAAGCGATCCTTTTGTTCGTCTTGACCGCAACATTCAACTCTGCTGGTTTCATTCCCATCTACTACATCCCAACATACTTCCAGTTCACGCGCGGTGACTCCCCACTGGAGTCTGGCATAAGACTACTGCCGCTCATCATGACCATCACCTTTATGATCATCGTCAACGGATCCTATCTGTCAAAAGGTGGATACTACATGCCATGGTTCTTGGTAGGGAGCTTGCTCGTGCTGGTCGCAGGTGTTTTGTTCTGTAAGCATCTCCTTTGGGGCTACCCTGGATTTCATACTTGAACATGAAGCTGACTTGCTGTTTTTCAGCGCTGATTGACGACACGACATCCGCAGCAAAGATCTACGGCTATCCTGTACTCCTGGGAATCGGTTCTGGATGTGGTATGCAATCTGCATTTTCTGTCATTCAGACCATAACAAAGCCTGAGCATGTCTCCTCTGGTATTGCTTTCATCATGATTGGTAGTTTTTTATGAGATACCCTGTCCAACACCCACCAGCTAATGACCTTCCAGCACAACTGCTGAGTGTCTCATTAGCACTATCCATCTGCGGCACTTTGTTTGTCAACACTGCTCTCAACAATCTCCAAGCACTTCTGGTCAACCACACACGAGCAGAGCTTCAAGCAGCACCACTCGGCATGGGCGGAGACTTCTTTGAGTCGCTGGATCCCGGCTAACATACCGAAACTCTGGGTATCATCGTTCGATCGATGGCAAAGTGGTAAGTCATCAATTTGGCTTCTCTCGTCCGTCAAAATGTATGTGTTTGCATTGTCACTGCCAAGTAATACCGCTGCAGTTTCATTCCAGTATATGTTGCCGCTGCTGTAGGCATCGGCGCATCACTTGGTCTGAGGGTATGGGTTGACAGAATTTCTTCTCAAGATCGCCAGGCTAATGTCTCGCAGACTGTCAAGATGGCACCTGCTATTGCAATGTGAAAAGACTGGAACAATGTCGCTCGAGGAAGGGTCAATGCATGACATCATCGGGTGCGTCTGAGCAGTGATCAGATCTAGACCTCGAGCTAGATGAGTATGTCATGTTTGACTTGGAAGGGATGTTGTGGATGGAGAATGCAAATCAATTGAAATGTCGCTCTCGCTATAGAACCATTTCCCTTGGAGTCAAAAGCTCTTCTCGCGTTACTTCACGTGTGCCATTCTTGGCGTACAAACGGGCTCGTTTCTGCCTCTTTTTGTCCTAGATGAGATCCTTGAGCTCTCTTGTCTCTCCTATGCGCTAACTGACGCCCTTGGCCCAGTCCAAAGACCTTGTGTCAACATCGTTTCAGCGCCATCGGGATTCTGTCTGTGTCTCCGGCTGTCAAGAGATTCACCACCCATTTGCCGAGTGTAGGCATTATCTTGAACCCATGACCAGAGTCTCCCGACAGTACCACGAGAGACTTGTTGGACTCGGGCACGAAGTCGACGCAGAAGTCGGAGTCGATGGTGTCAGCGAACTAACACAGTCTTTGTTCTACCAGAGGTCTGTCGGCCATCCACGGAAAAACTTCTTGGAGAAATTTCCGCAGCTTACGTTCATCCGCGGCTGGGATGAAATCTTGAGGCTGCGGCAGACGGTCGATTGGAGGTAGAGATACATCAGACTCTTGCGAGTTGGTGTAGCCGGCACCTGGAGAACATAGTTTGAAGAGTCGAGTCCCCGGGTCAGGCTCGAAGAAGAACCCCAGATCTCGATTGTTGGTGGTAGGGAGACCACGGAGGAGATCGACCTCATATGCAGTCAACTGGATATGCGCGACAGACCAGCATCGTGCCATGACGGAGCGACCCAGACTGGGTATCAGAGAAGCGGCATGTGCACCCAGAGCACAGATCGTGGTATCAGCATGGTCTGACTGACCGTCTGCGGTCTTGACACTACTGCATCTGCGCTTCGTCGAAGAAGTGTTGTCGTACAAAAGCTGCTCGACTCTTCCCGTACGCTCACCAAGGACAAACTTGACGCCCTTAGCAGCGAGGTATAACCAGATACCGTGGAGAGCGTTGGAAGAATGAGCATACCCAGCCAGTCTGTTATGATAGCCTTGGAAACCATGAGGCAAAAGTCGCTCTCTACGAAGGAGGAACGAGCAAAAACCAGACATCTCAAATTCACGCAGGCCCCTCAGAGCCTGGCGAAGATCCGAATTCTGCTGTTCAGCTTGGGAGTATCGAGTCACCGTCACAACACAATCCTGTTCACGAATACATCGACCAAGACGGGGCAGATGTCGACTTCGGAGTAAATGACCCTGGGCCATCACCTGTCGATAATCCAACAACACAGAACTGCTCACTCTCACATGCGCCACCAGAGCCTCGAGAACATGTTGATGCATCTCCCACGAGACAGTCATCCCCAGATTCCGAGCTCATGAACCCACTTACACTAGGCGTTAGCACCTTTGCGCCTAAAGCTAGAAGTATCCCATGTCAGTGTCGAGTGGCCAAACTGGCGGAGAGCTACCGTTGACGTTATGCTGCAGTATATCTTGAGACTTCTTCGAATTGGTCCTTCGGTCGACGCGTGCTTACAATGGCACACGAGCAGATCCTGGGCGAACCATTGTCACCCAAGGACTTGCTGTTCCAATGTGAAGCATACGATCTTGGGTGGGATGGGCTGAGAGGAAGTGCTCCAATGTTGAAGACGGACAGCATCACCCTTCCCACGGCTGAGCACGCGATGTATCTCATCAACGCCACCAAGTTTTATGTCGGCCAGACGTTTCATCTCTTCGATGAAGAAAGTTTCATGATGTCTTTCGCTCGGTTTCACAACCCCAATGCAGACAAATCAGGTCTTATGCCGCTGTGGTATGTGCATTACCTTCCAATCCTCGTTTTCGGGAAAACCTTTCTTGCTCGAACTGTCAAGGGAAGAAAGCCACCGGGGGCAGACCTGTTTGTACAGGCCATGGTATTTTTGCCTGATGTAATCTTCCTGTGCTTGCACCATATTGAAACGATTGAGATCTTGTGTTGTGTAACTCTCTACCTCCATTCGCTGGACTTTCGAAGTCCAGCATATCAGCTGGTTAGTATGCTAGAGACTACATGCGACAAACGCTAAAATCATCCCAGATTGGTCAAGCCCTTCGGATCGCTCTTGAGCACTGTATGCATACAAACATGCAGAGCCAGCACGTTACAGAAGCTCTGGCTCAAAGATGTCGTAAGTTCTGGTGGACGGTCCATGTGCTCGACCGGAACCTTTCCTCCCTCATGAGGTGCCTTCGTCTATCCGAGATGAAGACATTAGCGCAAGTCTACCACTGTATCCCGAACCACCATGCAGAGCTACGGCACTGGATATCCAGGTAAAATTGTCCAGATTGAGAACCAGGATCTCAAACGGTAGATCCGACAGTCATCGAACTTGTCCTTGTGAAGCTGACGATGATCGGAAGATCTATACGGTACCAAAGGACATCTCGACATGCGTTAGGTTTCTAGCACAAGGGAAGCACTTTTGAATATCGCACGCATAACTGATCAATTGCATCGATGTTTTGAGATCACGCCTGAGAAGTTCGACTTTGGTATCTCAAGGCTCTCTGCCTACCTTCATGTCTTACATCATCAATGTGCCATTCTAGTAACACGTCCGCTGCTTTACACTTTCTTAGAGACACGCCTTCACTCTCGACATGTCGGACAACGCCGCTACAATGGCGTAAAAGCATTGTTGATCATGTGTATCGACTCTGCTTTTCAGAACATCCGCATACTGTCCCAGTTGCAAGACGAAGCACTCCTTGGTACGTTGAAGGAGCATCGGATGTCTTCGTATTTTCAGACTGATGATGAGTCAGAATGTTTCCTTTCGTTCGACCTTGACGCTACATTCAGTTCAGCGCTCGTCCTACTGATGGCCGCAGTAATTGTCCCATCTCTTCCTAAAGGCAATAACCGGCCAGCAGAAAAGGCATATCAAATTCTGGGAGAAATGACAACTCGGGGTAATTCGGTCGCTGGCTTCATGCTGGCTGAGCTGCGTCAACTAGAGACGATCCTTGGACAAATACATCCGCTTGAAGATCGCAGAACTAGCAAGACAGACTCTTGTCAACCAACACAGAGGCACAGCGATCGATATGTACCATCTATGAGCTCCGACGGTCTGATGCCTCGATGCATGGATTGTACTATCGGTGACGCTGATTGGCAATATACTATTACAACGGAGCAGATGATTCAGGTCGCAGATTCTCTTGACTTTGAGGCATTTGGTTGGACAGATCTTCAGTAGTCTCAGATCTTGGTGGTCTTATACTTAGTAGTCTATGTATAGATTATCATATCGTCGATCTTGGGAGAAGCCAGTTCCTGTAATTATAGGCCGTGAGAGTCGTCGTTTGTGCTGCACTGTTACTGTGGTGAACTACGTCGCGTCTCAACAAGCAGGACACCAATATCTTGGAACCAGTAAGCCGGCTTTGCCAGAAATCTGCTCGGCTACAACAGGCGATATGGAAGCTCGGTAATGAGTCACGTCCTTACACGGGAAATTGCAGAGATACCCGGAAGGGTTGATGATGGAAGGCTATACTTCCTTCTGTTTCCCGCCTGATGATCAATCCGCTCGATCTAACTTGAATTGGTAGTGATTTCCCTGGTGCAGTGACCGTTGGAGATGCTTCCTGTCTCAAGGCGTTGGATCCATGTTCCATCACGTAGCCGAACTATGTGACTAGTCTCCTCAATCTTTTCGAGGTATCAGCGGGGAAATGCGGCGGATGACCCTCTGCTGCTTGTGCCCAGACTCACATCCACCGGATCGCCTGCCGGCAAGTATCACAACTATATGAGTAGAGCTACAAAGCTCTGGACTGAACGGGTCTTGAGTAAAGTACCTGAGGACTCCACACGCCTCAAATCTCAGCCAAATTTGTGTTATATCTACAAAAGCCAGATACCTCTCTCTCACAGAGCATATCTGTGAGATATCTCCAGGATCCAGTTGTTACCATCGAAGACCAGAACACTACACCATCAGATCAGCCCAAGCAAGCAGAGACCTGGTCTGTACCATGTGACAAGGCAAGACAATCAAACCTTTCCGGAGAATGGCTTGTCCGTTCTACCCCTACGAATGCTCCTGAGATCACTTGTCATCGCCACCATATCTTCACGCAAATACTTGCTTATCCCATCGCTGTCGGTCCTATCTTTTCTCTCGGGGCCTGGAAGGAGTACTCTATTTAATGTCGACAAGAATCCTTTCATTCACGCTTTGTTGAAGCGAACATCCTACGACCAGTTCTGTGATGGAGAAACCGAGAGAGAAGCAAAAGCCACTTGTCGACAGATCAAGGATCTAAGTTTTCGAGGTGGCCTTCTCACCTTTGGGAAGGAAACAGTCTTTGATCATCGTACCTTGGCCGAGCACAGTGTTGGCGAGGCAGCATTGGTGGCGAAAGAGACTGGTGCCCCTCTTGATCTGAAAGTGGTCCAGAATACCGACATCGAGACTTGGCGACATGGCACGCTCCAAACTATCGATCTACTGAGCGAGGCTGATCATCTTGCCGTCAATTGAGTGTATCGTGCTTTTCTCAATGTAACTAATGCTGACATGTTCTTCCAGATTGACTGGCGCCAGTCAAACTGTCACAAAGGCTTTCGCTGAGAGGACTCCACTGCCCAGGCAGATGCTGCACGCCCTGGCCGAAAGCGCCACCAAGTGTCGATCTCATGAGAAAGTTCAACCGCGAGGGCAAGGCTCTCGTACACAATAGATCGAAGCTACGCTCTGTTTGTTAGGCTGCGGTATGCTACCTCCAAATCATGATATCTCAGTGCTGACGCAAAAGTCTCGCAGGCAACCTCGGCACGCCAATCCTCAGTAGTCTGATGAAAGCAGACTCAGTTGCAAATGACCATATCGGAATCACCCGATATTCTCGTGCGTATGCTTCGTCCGTCAGTGCTGATATGAACACAAGACTGGATCTTCGTCGCTGGCTCTGGCATGCTCAGCATTTCGGTCGCTCTTAATGCACTCTCGCTCCATGGCGCTTGTACTGCTGTCTTTTTCGCTGTGGCTGCAGTTATCGGCTTCATTTTCTGTAGCTTCCAGACCCTGGGCCGGATCACCTGGCTTGCGTGGGTTGGAGTCATCTGCATCATCTCTGCCAGTGAGTTCCTCCAACAGCGTATGACAGACCACGCTGATGACTGACTGGTCATAGTCATGACATTGACTGTCGCGGTTGGTGTGGGTGGTCGTCCTGCAGCAGCTCCGCAGGCGGCTCTTGGGAGTCTGACTTCAAACTCCTTGGCACCCCAACCTTTGTGGAGGCCATCTCAGCTGTCTCATCACTCGTTTCCTCTTTTGCTGGCACACCAGGCTTCTTCCCGATCGCGGCCGAGATGAAGGATCCAAGACTGTACACCCGTGCACTCATCATCTGCCAGTCGATCGTCACCTCTATCTACATCGCGATTGGAGTTGTCGTCTACTTTTTTGCTGGATACTACGTCGCATCTCCAGCCCTTGGGTCAACGGGCCCACTCCTGAAGAGAGTCTGTTATGGTCTCGCACTCCCTGGTCTTTGCGTGAGCACCCTCTTGTTGTCACATGTACGTAGTAAAGGTTCTTTGACCGCGAATTCTCGCTCACCGCCGCCTACAGTTGCCGCCGAAGTACGTCTTTCTCCGCATCCTCCGTGGCACCAAGTATGTCTCCCAGAACACGTCCATACATTACGTGACATGGTTCAGCTGCACAGCCGGCACAATCATCATTTCCTATATCATCGCGAGCGCCATTCCAGTATTCGGTGGCTTGGTGTCGCTCGTCGGTGCTCTTCTGGGTACTCTTCTCTCTATCGAACCTTATGGTTGTATGTGGCTCTACGATCACTGGCATGGTCAGCGAACAACCAAGTGGACGCTCATGGTCGGCTAGTGTGGTTTTGTTATTGTCATTGGTACATCCTTAATGGTTGCAGGCACATATGGCTCGATTGTGGAGATCGCCAACAGTTACAAGGCAGATGGAGGGTTATCAGCCTGGTCATGTGCAGACAACTCCGGCTCTGTGTAGTCGAGTAGTACGTGCGACTCATGTGAAGTTCCGCATCAGGAAGAAGCTCAAGTTCAAGATACAGGACGTGCAATTGCGACGATTGACCCTTAAGCAGATACAATTCAAGAACTATAATGGAAAGGAATGACTACCCCTATTCCCTTGCATCCCTTGAATCAGATTGTGCCCCACTATTTCTGATAATGATACCTTGTTTCTCGAGCTGTCCTGGCTTTCATTCAGTCATCTGGTAAATGACTTGTGTCTGCTGCGATATCAGGACTGACTCAAAATTTGAGCAGCAATTTTCTCGGCCAAAGCATCTTTTATTGTCAGTGATATTGCTAGAGAGTGACCACAGGTCATCGAAACTTACAAACCGTGGCCATCGGATGTCCTGGCGGTAGGAAAGGGAAGGCACTAGCATCAACAACGCGTACTCCATTGACGCCAATGACGTTGGCATTCGAATCGACGACAGCATTCTTGTCGCTAGCTTTACCCATCGCACATGTGCATGACGCATGGAAGACTGAACCGACAGATTTCTTGATGAGCGCAAGTATGTCGGCATCTGAGGATACCTGCTTTGGGTAAGCTATTTGTGTACAGATAGATGGGCTGTTGCTGCTCGGCACAGTCAATGCATACCTGAGAGCCGGGGAAGACTTCGCCTCCAATCAAAGCTGGAGCGATGGCCTTGGTAGCAAAAATCTCGCGGACTCGTTTGTAGCCAGCGACCGCGACTTCTTGATCTATCGGGCTAGTCAACCATCCAGGATCGATGACAGGTGGGTCATTAGTATCCGCACTACTGATACTAATTGACCCACGCGACTGTGGAGCTTGAAGAGCAATGGCGACAGTGGCGTAGTTGTATCCATCCAGAGGCTGGCTTCCGTTCTCTTGGTATCCCAAATAGCCGCCCATGCTGAGAAACTCAATATCGGGCCAGTCTGGCGGAAGAGAGTTGAGAGCCGACTGTGTGGCTGGCGACAAGTCGTTGCCTAGGCGTGCAGGCAGCTTCTCCCATCCGCCGAAGTCACCGACAGGGCTCGTCAGAATGCCAGATTGGTTGTTGATGAAGAGATTAGCGGCTTGAGCGGCGAATGCAGGATCTGCCATGGCCGAGGCAGTGATGACATTCACTCGGTAGCTAGGGCCCATCAAGATGTGGTCTTGCATGTTCTGACCCACTCCAGAACGATCTGCGATGACGGGAATGTTGTACTTATTCAGCGCTGCAGCAGGACCAACACCCGAAACCATCAGCAACTGTGGTAATTGGAACGCACCGGCGGCGAGGATCACCTCGCGTTTGGCCGACAAGGTGTATTGCTGACCTGCTGTGGAAGCGACGACGCCCTTTGCCTTCTTGCCAGAAAAGACGATCTTCTTCGCCATAGTGTTGTCATAGATCTTGAGATTAGCTCTGTTTGCTGCTGGGGTCAAGAAGGCAGTCTCAGAGGACTCGCGCTTCTGGCTGAGTTGAAGAGCCGCAATGACATAAGAAGAGCCCATGAGCACTCCGCTGGTGATGCCGTTACTGGCTGCGATACCCAGCTCCTGCATACCTTTCTGTACCCACGAAGACATAGCCTGGGCATAGTTGGGAAAAGTGATTGAGAGTGGACCACCCTTCCCAAGACTGCCAGTGTCGTATTGCGGAGTAGCATTCTGAGCACGTTTTGTCATGTCTGAAGGTGTAAAGCTCAGACTTTTTTCGAAGTAAGGCAGCCAGTTGTCGTAGGTGTAAGAGCTGTCGCCGACCAGTTGGGCCCATTGCTGATACGAGTTCTTCGTTCCCCTGAGATAGCCCATGTAGTTGCGTGCACTGCTGCCTCCCAAGCATTTGCCACGAGGATAGTGTATCTTTGCGTTCAGCACTCCCTGTCGTGTTATGTCACTCCGGAACGATAGAGATGATCTTGAGAGCAACTTTTACCAACCTTCTGGGGTGTCGTGACAAAGTTCCAGTCAATGTTGGGGTTCGTGTCTGTGGGATCTTTGCCGGTCCAGGCAGAATTGTAGAGAGGAATCTCACTGGTGTTGCCGAAAGTTTCGTAGTAGGTGCCGGCTTCGATGACTGCGACGCTCTTCGAACCATCTTCCGAAAGTCTTGCAGCTATTGCGAGACCCGCTGTTCCACCGCCAACAATGACATAGTCAAAAGATGACGAACCAGGTTTTGCTTGAACACTGTTCCTGGGTAGCAAATTGTTGTTATACCCAGCAGGTGCTGCCTGAGAATGATGACTCAAGGCTGAAGCCAGAGAAGTGATGCCAGCAAATCCCTTCATCGTTGGAGTTCGAAAATCGAAAGTTGGTATCTAAGGTGATGGAGATAGGAGTTTTTGGGCAGCTGGTTGTCTACACTTTAAAGTGCTAGAAGAAAGGGTACTTGAGTTTTTCTAGCATCACAGCCTCTTCGATAAGGGGAGCATCTCTCGAGCCGTCTCTGACGTTCAACCTCGCTTGACTTCTCGTGGTCGGAAGGAGTCGAGCAAGCCATGTTTGCCACTGTTATGGTCAGTATACAGTCCTTCGGTCCTCCAACAGCTGAGGATGTTGGTGGAGCTGAGCGGAGTGACAAACGACCAACATGAAATTCAATATTAACAGCAGCGTGCGCCTGACGGGCCTCGCATCGCTGCCCATATTTGGAATGGCTGAGCCCCTGGCAGGCGTCTGGACTCAGCCTACCGTGGTAGGCCTTTTCAGCCTCCCAATACTGTTCGCATCGGGCCATTCAACCGATGGTATGCAAGACCGATAGGCTGTAGTGGCTCGGGCGGTCGTGGGACTCCTCAAACTTCTCCAGCCCCTCGATCACCAACTCATCCGTGTACGAAGTGTCATCAAATGTAAAACCCGATGGCTTTGCGACACCGAATATAATGGTTCCGTCTTTCTCCATCTGGGTCAAAGCATAGTAGCGATGTTCCTCGTATCTCAGAGCCATCGACGCCTGCAACATGTTGCCGCCAGAGAAAGCTTGGTCTGGGATCAAGGAATGCATTTGCACTTTGATCGGGGTGAGCAGCATCGCAGAAAGTTGAGGAAGCAGACTACCAGCATACGCGTTTGTGCAATGGATGACCTTGTTGGTAGACACCATGCCTCGATTCGTGTGCATGTTCCAAGTCTCATCTTCGTTTTGGGTGATCTGAATGACTGGGCAGTGGGTGAACAGCTTGCAGCCTTTGTCGATCGAGCTCGAGAGTAGCCACTGAGCGAGCTTGACAGGATGGATCGTAGCAGCCGGCCATTCCCATGCACTGAGTGCATCATGGACGCCAGTACGTTCCTTTGCATCATTACCTTCATGGTACCTGATGTGGTCGAGGCTTCCACCAGCACTGACATACTGCTCTACGTTGCGCATTTCGCTCTCAGCGATTTCTCGTGTGAGGCAAACATCGAAAGTTTGCTTGGGTCGAAACTCGCAGTCGATGTTGTGGGTCTTGACGAATTCTTGAACAAGATCAAGTACGACCATTTCGTGTTTGACGATTTCGAGAGCTTTGTCTGACCCATGGACTATAGCATAGCCGCTGAATTCACTGCAAGGGTCAGGACGAACGTGACCTGCATTGCGACCACTTGAGCCTGAAACAGCTTCTCTTGCCTCGAGTATGAGGATTTGCTCAGCCGGGATGCCAGACTTGATGAGCTCGAACGCTGTGAGCGATCCAGAGAGACCAGAGCCGATGATTGTGTATTTGGTAGAGACAGGTAGTGGGCTAGTCTCGTTAGCCCTGAGATGTGCAAATGCTCGAGTTGTGCGGTGCCAATAGGAGATCGCAGAGTTCGAGTACGGAAGTGCAGGCTTGAGGTCTCGCAACGCTGCAAACGGCGACTCTGGAGTGTCGTTGCGGGAAGGCATTTTGATGTCCTGGAACCCGTTTTCAGACAAGAGTGGGTTCTCTGACTACGATTCGTGGCCTCTGAAAAGGCCGTATAATCCGAAGGCATTCGGTTCTATTACATGTGAGGGAGAGGCCCTTGTATAAGAGGATTCATGACAAGAAGAAATCCTCCGGGGACACTAGTCGACCCCCAATCGAGCTGTGCATCCAATGTTAGCTGTCAGTTTCATAGCAGACTTACGTTATGGTGCAGGAGATCCTTGGCATTCGAAGAGTGTGACATGGTGTTACAGCCAACGTGAGATTGTAGAAGAACTATTTGCCTGATTAGGACATAGCTCCTTTGCAGCCACTTCGAAGGCTGAGCAGACAATACAGCTACGCGTTTCGTAATTGATGCACTGGACTGGGCAGTTATTGGGCTTCTCTAATTAGTCGTGGTGTAGGCCTATAAGAGTGCCAAAAATATCAGGAGGACTTCGCTCCCCAATAGCAATACATCCTCAAGAAACTGCCTGCAAGACTACAGAGCTCTTTTCTACCTGATCCCATCGACTTCTTGCTTCAAAGACAATGGCTCCAACAAAGATCACCTTCTCGTCTGAGAACATTCCTGGCGAGAAAGCCTTGTGTCTCAACCATAAGGGCCTTTCTCAAGCTCACATCACTGTGACGGAGCTGGGTGATGAATCTCAATCCGACTCTGAGTTATCCACATCTTCTACTTCGGTCCCTTCACCTCCAGGCGTCCACGCATTCGGCGCCGAAGCTGAGTACTTCTGCTTGTCGTTCGAGGTTCTCAATGTCCTGGAGCAGTACGGCACACACGTTGGCCATCAAGCCACCACTACGGACGGAAGTCTTGCGATGTGGAGTGGAAAGCTTCGTTTCTTGCCTCACGTCTACCATCACATCTCCCGGTCTACGCCAGTCCAGCTTACTATGCCGGCATTTCCTTGCAAGAGTGTAGGTGAACCATCTTTATTCGAACCCAAAGTCGAGTGAGCATCGCTGCAGATTGAGAAGCTGATTCTGTATTCTCTAGTCGAACCGCGAGAACAAAGTGCTAGGTCACCTGCCTGATCTTGGCGAGGAATTTGCACTGTGCCGTCTGAATGCGATGGCCGAAGACGTGGCAAAGGTTTACAAACAGGCTTTGGGCAATTCGCTATCGTGTAATGTCACGGTCTTCATGTTTTTGGTAAAGACAAGGCGCAACTATTTTCTATGACACTTCAAAAGAACAACGTGAGGTCCCTTTGCGAGGTGTTGTCGCCTGTTCGATTAGGCCAGAACCTGCTTCAAAAGCGGAATCTTACTGCTACGAGCGGTGAACATAGCAGGACCACTTGCATTAACCGTACCAGACCAAGAACATCTGCCTGTCTATCGGGTCGTTCAGTGAAGGGTCAAATTCACCTGCATGATGCATTTTCGTCGAACTGCACGAAGCTCGAGCGCAAGCCGATGTGATGAGCTGCAGCCTGCAGGTTGCAAAGCAGAACGACGTTTGGACCCGTCAATACTACCAAAGCTTTTACCAACCACACCGCCTCACTCAAAACTGCGTCTGACATGCTTGATCTTTAGCTCGGAAAGTCAACATGCGACGGCCTGACTATGGTATCTGCTTCATGCACTTCTCCGAGCTGGACGTTGGTTTCTTTCTCGTCGTACATCATCATTTTCCCGATCGGGATGGTGTTTGACGCCCACTGCTCTGGGTCGAAGTCAGCCAATCACGAGATAGCCACTTGCACTGCTTTATTGGTTTTCGGCGCCGCGGTCAAACCCGAGCTCCGGCTAGCGACATGAGCTGATTGGGATGGGCGGTGCCCTGGCACGATTTCCCAAAGGATTGTGGCAGATTCCCGGCTGATGTTTGGCAGGACAAAGAAGAAGCAGGACACCCTGGCAGAAACCCGAACATGCAGTCGGAGGAATCCAAGGCCGACTGCACTGCAGACCAGTGCAAGCGCCCTGGCGTATGACCCCGCCTCTTTGTGCTCACCTCGTTTATCTCCGGAAATGCTTTGTCAAAGTCCAGGCCAACACCACTCGAGTCGGTGCATCAATTCCAGCGCAGTGGACGTACGTGCATTGGACATTGTTTCTCTCATGTCAAGATTTGTACCATTCTCTCGTCATGGTGGGTGCAAAGGGGTGAACGCCATCCATTCATGGCACAGTCAATGGCGTCGCGTTAGATAGCATCGCAGTCGCCCGTGGAATGTCAACAGCAATAACAACAAGATCACCGCTGACTTTGTTTTCTCACTTGCATCAACTTCCAGCCCAGACTTGTCAAACTCTACCATCCCTCGAACCATCATGCCTTCCTCTACTACTCCTTACCAGCCATACGCCGACAGATATGTCGAGGGCCCAGCTTCTGGCCCAACAGCCGCAGACATCGTCAATGACCTCGGTCTCGTAGGCAAGCTCCAAGACAAGGTCATTCTGATCACCGGTGCCTCAGCCGGACTCGGTCAGGAAACCGCACGCGCCCTCCACACCACCGGAGCGAAGCTGTACCTCACGTTCCGCGACAAGGCCAGAGGACAAGCAGTCGCCGAAGACTTGGTGTCAAGAAACCCCAATGGCCAGAAGCCCGTCCTCATCGAGATGGAACTCGCCAATCTCGAGAGCGTGAGAAAGGCAGCCAAGGAGTTCTTGTCCCAGGAAAAGCGTCTCGATATCCTCATCAACAATGCCGGTATCATGGCTGTTCCAGAGGGCCGCACCACTGACGGTTTCGAGATGCACCTGGGCACCAACCACTTCGGCCACTTCCTGCTGTTCCAACTTCTCAAGGACACTCTTATCGCTAGTGGCACCGCCGACTCCCCTAGTCGCGTGGTCAACCTCTCCAGTGCCGGCCACAAGGCAGCCGGCGTCTTCTTCGACGACCTCGACCTCACCAAGCAAGGCTACAACCCCATGGTCGCCTACGCACAGAGCAAGACCGCGAACATCTACCTCGCCAACAGCATCGATCGCAAGTACGCGGCTTCTGCCCTACGCGCCGTTTCCGTGCACCCAAGCATGATCTTCACCACCCAGCTCGGTCGCCACATGTCACCAGAGGAAATCGCTGGTTTCGCTCCCATGGCTTCGTTTGCCAGATCTGCTGAGCAGGGTGCTGCGACTACTGTTTGGGCTGCGCTGTCTCCTCACTTTGACACTCAGGGTGGTGTGTACCTCGCCGATGCTGGTGTTTCCAGTGTCGCTGCTGCAGATGAGCATTTCGCGGGCAATGGCTACGCTCCCCACGCTTTCGACCAGGAGGCCGAGGAGAAGTTGTGGAAGCTCAGCTTTGGCGCTGTCGGCTTGGAGGAAGAGTAATCTTTAGCCGCGATGGTGACTTGGGAGAAGTTGCTCCTCCCGCGGAAGTGAATCCAGATGCTTGAGGGGATGGAGTTTCCGGAGAAGCTACTTTGTGCGATCCGAGAAGTTCCTTGGTTGTTGCGCGCTCCCTATATCAGCATTTTTTCTTTGTTTTAGCTCATAATAAATCAATGGAACTTTACCACAAAGCATATCTTTAGATTTAAGTGCTAGTCATCCCATTCTTGATTTTTAACTTTGCCCCTTGACCCCAGTGTATTTCTCCAGGGTGGACATATCTGCCTTGTGAGGAACATTTGAGACAAGGGTCGAATAGCGAATCATTTACAAGAATAATGACCAAATTGCACGCATAGAGCAGTAGTGTCACAGGCCTATAAAGGGTATAGAGTCGCTAGCTTGGCAAAATCAATAAGATTAGAATATCTGCTATACAAAGGACAGGATGTTGCTTTCTGGGACGCCTCGCTATGCTCGCTCAAAACCCAAACGCATCAAGCAAAGAATTCGGATCGGGTTCCTTGAATGCCTCAGGAGGTGGCTGCTTCAATCCCTTGGGCATTTTGTACGACTGTTCCACCTTCTCGGCTTCTTCTATATCATGCTTTTGCGCAGCGAACTCTCCTCTGGGCGCCGCATCTCCTCCTTCTTTCTTTGACTTTGGCTGTGCTTGCGATTCGTCTCGAGGATGGGTTGTTGTCTCATCAGGTTTTGCTTCATCACCAGCAGAGTTGGGCATCGATGTTGGCATCGTCGGGTTGGTCAAGAAAGAAGAATCTTCGACAGCGGTTTTGGACTCCTGTGTAGCGATATTCTCTTGTTTGTCCGATGCCGATGGCACCGCTTGAGACACAGGCTGGGCTGGCACAGTCCATTGATCGAGCGTAGAAGGTGGTTCAGCTTTTGGGGCTTCGGCCTTAGGCTTTGAGACCGGCGCAATCCACTCGTCGAGCATTGACGGCGCCGGCTTGACGACTGTCTCTGACGCAGGCGGCGCGGGCGAACTCCATTGATCTAGCAGCGATGGCGGCGAAGCAATAGTCTTTATCTGCTGTGGCTTTGGTTTTGCGATAGGTACAGCCCAGTCGTCTAGAAGTGACGGTGCGGTATTGGGTGTAGCCTGGGGTGCTGCAGTCCAGTCATCAAGCATGGAAGGAGGCGGTGCCTTCGGTTTTTGTTGAGCCTCCGCCGTTTGTGATTTCGTGGGAGGGGCAGCCCAATCATCCAGCAGCGACGGTACCGGCTTAGGTGCAGGCTTAGGTGGCGGCGCAGCCCAATCGTCGAGCATTGAAGGCGCGGGTGTGGGTTGTTGTTTTGGTCTCTCGGGCATGGTCCATTGTTCAAGCATCGAGGGTGCGGCTTTGGGCGTTGGCGGCGCCGGTGTCGCCCACTGATCGAGGATGGAAAAGGACTGTTTCGGTTGTGACGGCGGAGCGCCCCACCCATCCAGCATAGATGGTGCGACATTCTCCTGTATGACGGGTCTACCTTCGGGGAGGTCAGCAACAACAAGACTGCTTCTACGGCGAAGCAGTTTTCTGGGGTCAAAGCTCTCGGAAGTGGTTCTCGAGAGCCTGCGAGGTGGTAGTTCGGCGATGGACTCTTCAACATCATCCTGTTCCTTCTCTTGTTTTGTTACAGGCGGCGGCTGTAGAAACTCCCAGTGTCGTACGAGGTCCAGAGCGAGAATATCGCAACCCATACGCAATAGCAATCTCGCAGTTTCAGTTATGAACTCACACTCTTCTTTGCCACTGATCATGAGTGCGCCTCTCAGAGTTTGCAGACTTTTCTCTCGTAGTTGTTGATAGAGAACGACGAGCGCGGGATCGTCATTGCGGAAGCTCTTGGCTTGTAAGGAGTCTGGTGGCGAACCGGGCGGGACGAGCAGCGAGTGGAGAGGGCTCACAAGAGCCCGCACAGCCAGAGATCGTTCTCCCAGCATCCAGTATGTCCAAGTTGCCTGGCAACGATTGCCTTCGCGGGCGGCATTGGGAAGTACTCGCTCATTCAAGAACTTCTTCAGCGTAGGTGAATCATCTCCCCCATAGACACGGGCAACAGCGATGGCCAACTGGATGTCACCGAGCTGGTTGCTGAGCACGGAGACAGCAGAGTCAAGATTGTCGGCAAGGAGGAAGAAGGCTGCAGCGTACTCGAATCTTCTCTTGCCCATGAGCGCATATGCATTCTTATTTGCAGCAGTGCGCCACCTTGGGTCGGAGAAGTCGTTCTTCAAAAGTCGCATCGTCGCAGCTTGTTCTCTTGACCAGGTAGCCATGCGCCACAGGCCCGTCAGAACATTCTTCTTACGAAGGGCGAGGTAGTGGAGAGAGCAGTTGACAGGATCGCGAAGTTCGGTGCTTGTGTAGGCACTTCTTGCGACAGCCTCGAATTGTTGGAGAAGAGCTTCTCGATCTGTGAGCCAGACAAAGACACCGGTATTGCAAGCATGAGACCAAGTCATCTGTCCCTTGTTCTGACGGGTGACAATGTCGACCAGGATGTCTTGACTGGTACTGTGATAAGCCCAGAGCATCTCGCGCCAGGTGACAGCAGCGGAGGATGATGACTGGCGCGAGCGCATCACAGTCTCTCTCCAAAAGAGGAGATAGCGAGCGGCGTTTTCATCGATGGAGCGTCGGTGCTTTTCGGCCATGCCAACGCATTCAATAATGTCGGCTAGACTAAGTTGCTCGGTACTCGACAGTTGAGGGATGGACTTCTCGGAGAGCAGGGACACGATGGCTGTGGCGACTTTTTCGGTGACGGTGGTCGACTCTTCTTCCATGTCGAGAGTGCTGTAGGATTTATGTAGCTGTTTGCTGGAATTCGAGTATTTCTGCTTGAAGGTCAGTGATGTTCAGTCCGATAGCAATGAGAAAGATGTACTTCTGCGGATGACATGAAGTCGTCAACGTGGAGGCCCTGGAAAGAGTCGAGGTCGTCGCCCTCGGTATAGAATTTGAGGGTCTTTTGAAGATTGAGTAGGATGCGGTGAACAATGTCCATCTTGCCGGCAAGAATGCATTGTGATATAAATTGTGGATGGAAGACAGGCAGCGGACCGTTTAGCCTGCGCACAACATCTTGGATGCGAGCTGATGATTTGTGCGGAGCTGAGCCTTGCAAGTCGGGAGAAAGATCTTTCTGCGGATCGACGTCGTTACCAGCAAGATAGAGCTGGTTACCAGCACCGATGACCAGATTGCCAGAACCCAGCCAGACCGAGTCTCCAATAGGGTGAGGGGATAGATGGCGGGTGTTGATTTGCTTGATGCGTCCCCAGGAGGGGCGTTCGGTGACGTAATCGTAGCGCAGTTGGGTATATACAAAGACGGCGTGAGGGAAGCCGACAGCAAGGATAGATTGATTGTCAGGAGTCGAAGCCCAGTCGAGATCCTGGATTGTTTGGTTCTGAAAAGTCTCTTCATAATCCAGACGTCCACTCTTTGTATCCCAGATGGTCAGAGTGGAGCGAGACTTGTCGACCAGAGCAGCTTTGCGGATTGAAGTGCCGCTGCCAAGCGAAGGGTCCTGGATGCTTGTATGAGTAGTAGAAATGTTGAGCCAAGTGACCGCCGTGTTCTGCTGGTCAATCTTGGCCGTCCAGGTCTGGAGGATGCCGGTTGTGGTCCAAGAGACGGCAACGTCTTGGGCAAACGTGTCAAAGAGCCCAGAGAGGACAGGTGAACTACCGGCGGGGTCAACGGGTAGAAAGTAGGACATGTCCTCGATGCGGTCGAGCTGGAAGGTACAAAACTGTGTCATGGTTGGTGCAGACGAGACAAGGTCGAGCTCCCAGACGACACCGTGCATGTCTGCAGTGACGGTGGCAAGGTATGATAGGTGGCCAGCACTTTCGGGAGCAGGGAGTGAGAGAAGACACAGAGGTTTGCCAGAGGTCGAGTATGTACAGCGGCCAATTTCGGTGGCATTGGGAAGACGGGCGTCCCACATCGAGATGCTTTCATGGTGCAGGAGGACAACAAAGTCGCCGTCGTTGAGCAGGGCGGTGCGGTGGATGTGTTCGTGCAGCTTTGTCTTGCTCTTCCTGACCAGAAACTTGCCACGGTGCTTCCAGACAACCCCTTCGTCGGTATCGGTGCGTGAGATGACTGCTGATCCATTGGCGGTGCGGATAAGCTTTTTGATCGCCGAAGAGTGGCCAGTCCAGGAGGCCAAGTTGCGCATCCGCTGCTTTCGCGGTGATGGATCGAAGACGTGATGCACGCTTCCCTGGTACCACTGGAGACGGCCGTCAAAGTGGTGCACCAACAGAGCGATATCTCCAGGCTGGCCAGGAAGGGCGAAATTGATAATGCGGGCATTGTCCTCGCCGACGTGAGCGTGCTTGGAAAAGTCGAAGAAGAGGTTTTCGACATGGGTGGCATGGAAGAATTCGCCGTGCTCAGCGATGCTCGTCCTCTTCTTGCAGCCGACATTCTCCAAGCCCCAGGCACTCATGTGTCCTTGATCGTCCGTCACAACCACAATGTCCGGGTGTCTCTTCTCCAGCTCTTTCATGTACTCGATAGCGTGGCGTTCGGCAGGAAGAGTTTGTGTGCTGACGGCGTGGGCGACGGCGTTGGAGAAGACGGTCGAGAGAACGAGGAAAGCGTAGCGACGGTTGGACGGCACCAGAGGGCGCACCGCTTTCATCAGGTCCAGTTCAGCGTACAGGCCAAGCACGTCCATCTGCTGGGGAAGGCCAGTCTTCCACACGCGCAGCTTGCCATCCAGACAGACCGTATACAGGACGTCTTGGTCGGCAGCGTCAGAGCGCCATTCGAGGTGGGTGACAATGTCTGGGTGGGCGAGGTAGGCGTAGTCGAAGATGGCAGACTCGAACGACAGACGGCGCCAGATCTTGACCAGTCGGTCGTATCGTGACGTGGTAGCGAGGAGGGCGGCAGAGGGCGAGAAAGTGGCGTGCGACACGGGCGAGGGTAGGGAACGGGTCCAGCGGGTGGTGTGGTCCTGGGTCGAGAGCAGTTGGACCTTGTTGGATGCGACGAGCAGCTCGTCGTCGGTGCCCCAAGACAAGCTGCGGATCCTTGATTCTTCCTTGTTCCTGTGCTCGTCCTGGTTGATCTCGACTGTCATGTCGAGGAACCAGCGCAACTGGCCCTTGATCTCTTCACGCAAGACGTAAAGGTAGACATTGTCGTTGGAGGCGGTCGCGATCTTTGCGCTGCGCGGGTCGTATGAGACGGCGACGAGGGGAAACGGCGGAACGAGGTCTTCATGGTAGATGGTCTGGAGGAGCGAGTCGGGGCCGTTGCAAATGACGAGGGCGCTGCCAGAGATGTAGCAGACGAGCGTCTGGCCTTCAAACACTCCGGTCGACACGGCCTGCAGTTGAGCTTGTGGCCGGCCAGGGAGAATCGCTTGCATTGTGGTGCTTGCAGGTCGCTATCGCTTCATGCTTGCTCCTCTTTCCGTGTCGGTATCTGCGAGCACCTGCCACTGTCTATGTCTTTGTCGCGCGCTTTCCATCTTGACTTCAACTTGGACGTGGACGCTGCTTCCATCTGACGATGATGCCGATCCACGTGGCCCAAGCTCTCGACCGCTCTCCGCTTCGACCGCTCCTTCTTCCTCTTTCCGCGCAACAAAAGTCTCTCTTCTCCTTCGACAACACTTTCACTGTCTCTTGCTTGTCTCGACACTCTCGGCTACCCGTTCATGCCACATGCCTCTCCACAGCATGTGCAGTTGTTTTCGAGACACCCAACCCGCCCTGTCATCCGTCATCGCTAAGCTCACCAAGTGCTTCATCGTGTCGTTTTCACACACTCTCTATTCTATATGTCGCCATGGTCTCATGCGTCGTTCAGCTAACAAAGGTATTGCCTGTCTTGACGTAGAATCCACAGCCAACATTTGAGACTGTGTTGAATATCAAGTCACTGTCAAGTAGGTCGCACACAGTTGACTGACGCTCTTTTTCTCCTTCTTCTATTCATTTTGTCATTTCTTTTCCTGCTGCCGATTATTCCTCATCCCTCTTCTTCCATCTCCAGAAATCACACCACACTGGTAGACATCTCACCACCGATATCCTCGTCATGCCCCATGATCTTCGTCATTATTCTTCTGTTCTCATTCCCGCTCGGCTTATGGCTCTTTACACGCCGAGGCGAGACCCCTCCTAGACGCTTAACCCAGTTCCTTGCTGATTTCCGTTCTAGAATCTATCGTGAGATGGACCCTGTAACCCAACGTAAGATAAACCACACGACTTATCTTGAACTCAATTCCGGACACAAACTCGATTCCCACGACGCTCTTGACGATTTCTTCGGATCACGCTCCATCGGCTCCCGTTCGAACCGCCGACCTTGTCGCGAGATCAGTCCCGGGGTCCGCTCTCATGGGGACTCTGCTGAAGTAGAGCTCGTCACCTGTGTGGCTTGCACCGAACGTTGGCTCAAATCATACACCTTCTCAACCCCCTGCCGTCACAGATACTGCCCAGAATGTTTGACTGTTCTCTTCGACAATGCTACCAAAGACGAATCCATGTATCCGCCTCGCTGCTGCGAGCAAGTCATTCTTCTGGCATCTGTTCGCTCCATCATCACCACCGAGCTGGCCGACACTTTTGCCGACAAGGCCGAAGAGTACGAAACCCTCGACAGAACTTACTGCGTGAACCCGTCATGTGGCAGATTCATCCCACCCAGTGTCATGAGTTACAACCACGCTGGATGCCACGAGTGCGGCACGAGCACCTGCGCCCGCTGCAAAAAGAAGTATCACGCCGGGCACTGCCTTCCAGATCACGATATGGAGAAGCTGCTCAAGCTGGCCAAAGAGAAGAAATGGCAGTCTTGTAGCAATTGCCGCAGACTTGTTGAGAAGAGAAGTCGCTGTGACCATATCGAAACAATCTTCCAAAGCCGCACAACCAGAATCGCCCTTGTCGTCAAACACCTTGTCCAATGAGAAGAAAAGTATGCATACCATTGACCCGCTCGACAAAGTTTCTACACCAAGTTCATATCGCCATCGACTCGAAAGCAAAGAACAAAAGCTCTCGCTTGCTGTATCCCTCAAATTTTGCAGCGAAGATGAAACTCCCACAAATGTCCAACGATATCTTCTTAGTCACGATGGATATATTTGGTTACCTCGAGATGCCCAGTGTATGCTTCCAGCATGAGTTCATCATCTGCAAGCCAGAAGAAAGCGTCAATGGAAACTCAAGTCCTCGGGTTTATCGATTGCCCTCGAACCAAGAAAAGCATTTTGAAATCATTCATCATTTCAGCAGCCGCGCTCGCATCTTTCCCGTAGATTGTTTCCCCTCTTTCGGTTCCAGGTGAGACCAATAAAAATCATCGCTCGATCGATGAAAGAATTAACATTAGTAATTATGATGACAGTACACTAGAATACAACTAGCAGTGCAACGAGGCCGGCAAGCAATGGAAAAGCTTTTTCGCGTGAAACCCATCTCATCGCATTAGCCGCGCTTGTCTTTGAATTACTAGCTGTCGCGCCTGATGCGGTAGTTGATGCGGACGATCCGCTGCTTGTCGTGGCAGAAACGCGATCGTCGTACACGCCGCACTTGTCGTAGTTGCGCTCAGGCGATGAGTTGATCTTGCCTTGATTAGGGCTGGTCGGGGCAGTCTGACTCGAGTTGCACCAGTTTGGCGCAGTGATGGCCAATGTGTCTGACTGACCAGACATCCAATACGGCTGCCAGACGTCGGCGCAGTTGGTGCATTTCATGCTCCAAACGAAAGCGCCACGGTATTGCGGCAGTCGACCGTCGGATCCACGAGCCGCCCAGAGTTGAGACGCATATAGCAGCTGGTAGAACTGCAGTCTCTCTTCGTCCGTCTCTCCGTGCGTGAAGTTGATGCCATTCTCGTTACCGGAAAATTCGCCGATGATGATTGGGTTGTTCCAGGCGTGGGGCGACGACGCCGGCGGCAAGCTGCAGTAAGTGTCTTCGAGCACGGTCAAGCTGGGGATGTCGGTGAAGAGGTTCCACCAGTGGAGGTCCAAGATCACCTTCTGACTGGGGTTGAAAACGTCTCCCCAGCTTTGTACACCGAGCCAAGCATCGCCAATCACGGTCCAGACGTTGGGCAGCTTGTCGGCAATCTTGGCTTGGTTCGCGACATAGTAGCCAACAAGTGCATCGTACGCGCCAGTCATGGAGATCTGAGGTTCGTTGGCCAGTTCAATCATTGCAATGGCGGATGAGAGATTACTTGGTAAGGCTTGGACCCATTCGATGATTGCATCAACTGTGTCATTGCCGCGAGCAAGGTTTGTAGAGTTGAGGAATTGAGGCGTGAGTCCAGCGATTTCAAGGTTACGTCCAGAATGATCGTTGAGGTTCTGACCGCCAGGCAGGGCATGAATGTCCAGCAAAACCTCCATTTTGTACTTGACTGCCCAGTCCACGAGTTGACGAAGATAGACGTCCTTTTGGCGAGAATCCGTCCAATACGGCTCGTCGCCTTGGGTAGGAATGAACATCCAGAAGGCGATCGGGATGCGTACGAAGTTGACGCCGCGCGATTGCGCATCTTGGAAATCGACTTCGCGGATGTAGTTGTCCAGATGGTTAATCATGATTTCTTCCGCGTTTGACATGCTTTGAAGGCCCCAAGTGTCGTTGACTCCCGGCGCATTGCATCCGACATATTGCCACATCATCCACTCCTCGATGATAAAATACGATCCGAGATTGATGCCCATGATATAGTCTGATTCGCTTGTTCCATTAGGGCTCCATGCCCATGATGCACCAAAGAGGGACATGAAAATGCTGAAATAGGCAAAGAAAAACATCGCGAAAGAGTTATCAGCGACTGTGCTGTTGAGTCAGAGATGCGTGGCCGCCCCTGCGACAAAAACTTGCGTCTTGGGTAAAGCGCTGGCGCCAGAATGCAAAAACGAAAGTGAAGGACAACCCTACAGTGATGGCCGTTTGACGGCGGACTCAACTCTTCATAAAGCATCACGGCCTACTCTATCCTTGATTGCTCGCGGCACACTGGTCATAGTTTCGGACTGAAGCGCGAGGAACCATGTTTCTTGTACAAGTAGTAAATTGCGGCTGGGTCGGTACCTTGTTCCTACGGGGCCGCGCGATTCGTCGAGAGTGGTGCACGGCTGTCGTTCCTCAAAGCAGGGCAGCGCACTTTGAGTGCCAGTGATTTCACGACCACCTGAGATGGTAGTGTGGCTTCGATTAGCGAGGTAGCGGTAAGAGGTGATCCGCAAATCGAGGTTGCGAGCTTCAGGTGCGGCCTTGAAGGCTGGCGAAACACGCGGCCGTGGCGTGCAAGGCGCAAATTTCCCCCACCGAGCGCCATGCTAGAATCGACAAGCTTTCCCACCTTGTTTAAATCTCGTCATGACTGCCGCCGTGCGATGCACACACACGCTGTCAAAGCCGTAAGACTGGCTTTAAAGATGGCAAGTTATTGCAGGGGCGTCGAAAACGTTTTTGGCTCTTTGTGCGGCTCAACATCCAACGCGTGTTCGTCCAACGGCTCTTCTTCGACGCGCTGTCACGGCATTTCTTCCACACGGGACTCGGCGGACGTGCTCACTCAGACCAGGCTCGGCATGACTCCGGCAATCTGTTTGCGATACCAAGCCCAATTTACATCCATGCCGCATTTCGTTCCTTATAGACGCTTCCTTGCATGACACATCCTAGTGCGTTTGCAGTGCTCACTGTGCTACAGCGGCTTGGCCCGAGCTCTTCGAACAGTACAACGAGCCGGTCAAATCATCTGTAAATAGCATCACTTATACAACATAAGGCGGCAACTCTTCCAACTCTCTAAACTCCTCCATCGAAACATCATATCCCAAATGCCTTTTCAACAACTCATGCGTCACAAACCTCTCGGGCGTGTTACCCTGCGCATCCACGAAACTGACATGAGGATTCACATCACTGATCCTCTGTAGCTCATTTGCATGGCGATGATGGTGAGGACATCCGTCTACTCCAATCAGAAAGATCGTCACATGCGCCCATGACAAACCCAGCAGTTCGAGTTCGAACTCATCCATATCCGTTGCTTCGCCGTCGAGGAGAAGAAGCAATCGCAACATTGGTGTTGAGGCACCTGCTTGCCAGCCATACACAGAGTGATAAGTGGCGGATTCAGAATGCTTTTCGAAATGGCGTGTCTTTACTTTTTGCCAGCCCGTCATTACGCGAGTGCCTCCGCCGATGGCAATTCTGTTCCAAGTGGCGTCGAGGTTGGTGTGAGTAATTGTGCCCGCGAATCTTGCATGAGAGGAAAAAGTTACGAGGTCGTAGCCGTTGAACTCGTGATCATGGTTTGCCATTGCATCGATGAATCGGCGGATGATGGCTTTGGCGACGTCTGATTGAGAGGAGTCAGTATGCTTGTAGGCCATATGGGGGATGTCGGAGCACGTACCTTTGTTCTTGGGTTGTGTCGATGGGGAAAAGCCAGTGATGAGGTATTGATCGTAACTATTACTCAAGTTAGTCAAACGGCCAGAGGCAGATCTGGTTCTCGAACTCACTTTGGTCGAATAGGATCAAAGTCCATGGACCCAGAGATATCGAGCAAGATCATCGTGTCGTCAGTGGGGACTTCTGGACGGTCGCTCATTCTAAAAGGTGGGGGCATGACCTGCTTTGAGTAACCCTTTGAGGTATGTTGCAGATGACATGTATCATCAGCAGCATAGTAGTCTGGCGGCGGCTCAACAGCTTGTGCCATGCGGTCGCGGGCCATGTTCATCTCCGAAATGAAGTCCGGCTTCATGCGTACGACATTCGAAGGTCCTTCCCTGTGATTCAAAACCCAATACAGACGCTCTTCTGCTGTATCCTCGTATCCTCGCCATTGAGGAGTGATGCCTCGCCAACCACCGGCAGCTTCGATGTTGAAGGTGAGTATGCTCGTAGCTTGATCAGCCCAGACGACGGGAATCGGCTCAAAATATCCTGCACGAAGCAGGTGAAGATATTGCAGAGGTTGACATGCTCGAAGGTGGGCAATTTTGGCTTCCATGCCGACTTTGTTCTGGTAGGTCGCCACGATCTGTCTGGTCACGTCGTCAGGCCATCGACCTGCCTCCTCTGCGAGTATCTTGTGGCGTAATTCGATGCCTTGACCAGCTGCTTTCTCAGACTTTGCTGTCGCTCTCTCATCTGATGACTTGATTCCCACAGCTTTGATGAACGATGAGAATCTCGAAGTGCTGCTGCGCCGAGGAGGCCCGGTCGTGCTTGGTGCTGACTCATATTCAGGTGCTTTCTCTGCCGGATGAGATTTCGCATCAGCCTCGCAGACGGGGTGTCTGCCTTTCTCAGAAGCGACCGATGTAGTGAATGGAGCTCTGTCCTCCCAAATGCTTTGCCTGGGTTCCATGGCATCGACTTTGGCCTGAGCATCACGATTCAATTGATTGTTGAGTGAAATGGTTTGGTGGATGAATTTGACATGATAAGCCGGTCGAGGATGCTGTCGTGTCCAAGCACCGGCGCCACCATAGCCGTAGGGCGAAGTAACACGAAGTTGGTAGGGATTGCCACTAAAGATTGTGGTTTGTGGTGCCAGGTCGTGATACATTTTCTCGCCTGGATACATGACAGCTTCTGACCATTGGGTAAGCACTGGACGACGGCTGCGCTTCATGCGTTGGTACTGGTGGATTGGACAGCCGCATGGGTAGTCGGAGTCGTGTTCGGGTTCGATTTCGCTGTTGAAGATGCGATATTGCATTTGTAGACTCTGGAGAGCATTTTGCATTTCCCTCTAGGCGAAACAGTCAGTAATGCAACAATACAGATGAGCTTGTCTTGGCGCTTGGATATACCTCGGTGAGGGCGCGCAAGTTTGCCGCCTTGTCGACGGCGTTGACGTAAGGGACGTGGCGATGCTTCCTTGTCGTATGCGCAACATTGGTTGTTGGTTGGTGATGACTGTCGACTGGCTGTATCCAAGACTGCTGTTGTTTTGTCGGCGATGGGGCGCTGTACGATGCGGGCAACTGGGCTCGTGTCGCAGACGGAGCGCCTTCGGCGCGCTCGAGTTCCTCGGCAAAGTGCCAGTCGTTGTGTTCCTCCTTGTCGTGCGACGCAATCTCTTGGTTGCACCGAGGGCAAATGTATCTTTTTTCCATGGTTTCTGTATGATCGCCTGTTCGTCTGAAGAGCAATGGATACTGGTCAAGATGTCATGACAATCGAGAGAAGGCGTCGAGTCGCGTTATATCAAACCGATGCGGCATTATGCGTCGCATCAGATGACGCGTTGTATATGGTTTCCATCACGGTACAAAGCCGTGTATCCGTCAGCCACCAAAGCGTGAATTATTCTTGTCAGCTCTCCGGAAATAACTAATCAGGCATACTCGACATCTCAATCTGCATGTTCCTGCAGGATGCTCGTGCAACGCTCACACCGAAATTATAGAGCGATCGTTTGTATCTACTCTCGCTTTCAGACACGAATGTTTCTGTAGAAGATTCTTAATTGCTTATCTTGAGCTAAGCTTTTGCCTGCCTAAACAAGGGTCCAGAATCCGTTCCCACGTACGAACTCATGGTCAAAGCTGATCGTTACTGCAAGTGTCTAGCATTGTAACCTTCTACAGTATCCTAAGCTTTTGGAATCTACGGCACACTTGACGCTTGAATGTCCTTGCCATCTAACAACTCTTAGCCTTACACTCTTCGAATTACTGGTATCCTAACGGGGAATAGTTATGAGGCAAAATCGACAACTAGGATTTCATGTCCTGTAGGATATGTCCACAACCCTGACTCCAAAAGCCATCAAGTGACTATACATGTCCTAAATTACAACTTCGCTAAGATAGGGGTTCGCCGTCGAGATTACTAAACCTGACGCCTCGAACATTTTCGCATGAGTTGTACGTATCAAGGGTCTGATCGGCAAAGTACACAGTGTCTTGGAGAAATGCAACACCTTTAGGGGCGTGGTATCGAGTGCGCCGTTCATAGGTACATGTACGATCTTTCTTCCATCTGGATAAAATCACTGTCTGAGTCGCCGCAGCTGAAACGTGTTATACCAGAACAACTTCTGCAAGCAAGTTAGTGCATGCATTATCCAGGCGTTTGACCGTACGCACTGCAAGCCACATCGATATCCATGTAGTCACAATTAATAGCAGCCATGCGCAGTTGCCCTGCCAGAGCTCTCGCGGAGGATGCTGCTGCAAGACACGTGCAACAACTGCTTTGACGTAGGCAGAGCCCGTCGTTCCTCCTAAGTTGCCTCGTCGCCTGAGTGTCTCAATGTGGTCTATGATAGGGAGGTAAATGGACCGCGCGTGAGCTTGAAGTCCATGGCGCAGAATGTCGCTTTGCACATAGCCGGTGGCGGCCTCAATCACCCAAAATCCAAACGGCTCAAGCGCCTGACGAACTTAGCAGATCGTCACTTAGTTAAACTCAGGTTACTTACGAGTCGCAAGGTTTTGGTGTATTGGCTGGGGCAGCTTTTGTCGCATTGACTACGGGCTTTGCCAGATCATGGGTACTGATCGTGTCACACTGCCGATCCGAACTATCTTTCCCCCTGCAGCAATGAGCTGGCTGGAGAACATCTTGCACGTCTGCATCATGGCCACCACGTTGACCTCAAACACTTCTCTGACTTTGGCGACGTCAATGTCAATCGCCATCGACGCGTAATGTATGCCGGCATTGTTGACAAGAAAGTCCAGACGCCTGCCAGAATTTTGGCCGACTTCGGTCCTCAGTGCTCCGATGCTGTTGGTGTCGAGCATATCCACAGGAAGGGCAGTGATATGCTCGTGCATGTCGTTCAGCTTGCGCAAGTCATTTTCTCTGCGAGCAGTTGCGATCAGTCTTTGATCGTCTTGTCAGAGAACATGGACAGCCAACCTTTCTCTGGGCAGATCCCGACTCCAGAGGCAACCTCGGATTCCTTGTACAATTGCGGAGCTGAGGTTAGACTAGGCACAACGCCCAAAGGTGACAACCGAGCATGCCACAACGCCCTGGGGACGTGCATAGCAGGGATGTCGCCGATACGGGTGTTAGCCACGAGCTGTAGATATCGCTGTATAACAGGAGAAAGCGAAATTGGCAAAGCAACTCAACTGCAAGTCGTTTCGACGACTCCTCTTGAATGAGCTGAGCTGATCTCTCCAGTTGCCAGGCCAGTTGGTGCTGAAGTCTGGCCATCTTCTCACGACTAAAGACTTCCATGGGATTGGCTCTCGCATGTGCGATCTCCGTGACTAATGTTGATAGAGTGGCACAAAGTGAGAAGGCAGATCGCGGGGTGTCATGTCTTGCGAGGTTGTCAACGCGCGATACACCTTGTTCGTTGGACATTGACTGCCATGCACGTGGGGTTTGTGCGAGATAGAGGTCATCTCTGCTCGTCATCGGAACTTCATCTGGGTGCGACCGTAGGGGTCCGTAATGGTTATTAAAGATGGAGAGCTCAGCGTTGTGGATGTACATTGCATCATACAAGCGTGCAAAGGTGTCGTTCCGACACCAGAAGTCCCAGTCGCCTATCGAAGATGGGCCAAATCCTGTCCGCTGGCGCCAGAACTTCTGGAATGAGTTGTAGAAGGTTTCTTGGATTGCTTGCGCGGTGTCCAAGCCACCAGATCGAATCGGAAGAAGTACATATGTTTGACCAATCGTAGCGGCCTGCGCGACAGCCAGTGCAAGCTCCTCGACTACGTGCTCGCTGCTCTATAAAGCCAGTATCGCTTTCTGTATGCCGACATAATGCAAGCTGAGGATCGAACCTTGACTTGCACGATGGGCCGCCAAAGGTACTAGCCTTTCGCGATATTGACATGAAGTCTGCCATAAACCAAGCACCGTGAGTATTGGTGAGTGTTTCTCGCTCCTCCAACTCGTGTCGCCACATACGTGCCTCGTGGGGGCTGAATCGTCCAGAGGCTGTGGCTTTACCAGGTGGGAAGCAGGAATGACAGCCTGGAAGCCAGAACAGGTCATGCACCTCTTCGGGAGTCATGCCTAAACGTGGCAAGGCCGGGGTGGCTTTCGGGTGTTGGCAATGTCAATTTGAGATTCGCTGCCACCCAGGTTCCTTCGTAACGGTACGCGTCACATACCTGGCGAATGTCGGCAGTCTTCTCGAGATAGGTCTTGCGAGCTGCACCTCACTTCCCGTCGGCACCTATCAGCCAAGTCGCTGGTCTTTGCACCAACTTCTGTATCTGAGAGACATCACCATTGGTTTTGTGTCTATTTTGCAGATTGACAACATCGCAGCCCGTATGGAGAGAACAGAGTGGATTCGCATCAACGAGATCACGCAGACCTTCTTCTGCGGTGTGTCAGCCCGCCGTATCTGGCATCGCCAAAACCTCAAGGTAGTATAACAACCTTAAACCTTATAGTATACTCCCCATTGCCATGGATATTCACGTGTGCAAAAGTTGTGAGAATTCGCCACCCCCAACTTCGAACTTAATGCTCTAATCAGCTAGTCTATCTACCATTAGCTTAATAGCTATACTACCATAGTCAATTATCTTATTATATACGTTAATATAGACTAATCTAGTGCTACTAAAGCGTTATTTAAAGTAGCAGCTAGTCCTAGCCCTCGTACGCGTTCTTAGAGCAGGACTCGAGACTCGAGCCTCTTAACCGCTCTACCTTCGCTAGCACCTCCTACCGCACACCGGGGCACGTAACGGCATATACACTTCGATCTAGAGCTAGAAACTGGTCCTTCTAGTGCTCCTATTGCTATACCGGCTCGATTAACCTATAGAAAAGCGCCAGTTCGTCTTATTAATTAATAAACACTCCCCGAATCCACCTAACGTTAGGTTATAGCAAAACATCCTCCCTCTACCTAACTACTATAACCACCTCTAAAAAAGGTATCCGCTAGTAGGAAACCACTTTCTAATGCTACGAACACGTTAGGTAAAGAACGGACATTAAATACCTTAAGAAAGACTAAGATATAGGCCCTAGCGACTAGAAATCGACCTGCGAAGCTATATAATAACCTAGCCTTAACCACTCGCCGATTAACCACTACTACGAATAAGGTTACTAAACTTCGTAGCAACCTTCCGAAGGGTTATAAGACCGCCACTATAAGAAAAGTATCTTTAGATTCGTCTACTATTACTATAGGTCCTATCGCTATAGCACCTCCTATCCTAATTCCATTTAAGCTTTAATTTAATATACGCTAGGGCCACTAAAGGATCTCTAAAAGTGACACTAGCCTTACCGATAGTAACAAACTATAGGTAGAGGCTTTAAAAGAGATAGATAAAACTATTATACCTTATTTAGAAGGTTAAGGGATCGCGCTATTCTATCTATAGAAAATTAAGGCCTTAATTATATCGACCGGTGCTTACAGTCTCTATTAGACTAAAGCAGTTATTCTTACTAGGGTCGAGGGTAGTAGTAAGCGCTAGAAGAAGGCTATAGACCTTATTTAATTTAATGCTCGTAGCGGCATAAAGGACCTGTCTCTTATAGTTAAGTCTATATAGACGCCTAATAGTAAAGAACTAGAGCTAGAGGCACCCCCTACGTACGAAGTACCTATAAGTATACCTTAGTCTTTTTAAACCTCTCGCTATGCTCGATCTTAGAGATCGATCGAATAGACTACTAACTTCATATTAGAACGAGTAGTATTCTAGGACTTAATTTTTAAGTTCTAGGATTGCCTAACCCTACTACGATGCTATATTAAGTTACGTAGAGGTCTTATATGCTTCCTATATTAGGCTCGCCATTATAAGATCGTCCTTACCGTTTCTAGCTAATGGCGCGATAAGGTTAGGGCCGGTAGAGGTACCCTTAAGTAGCTAAATAAGGCGATCCGAGACCTTATTAAAAGACTCTATTAGGCTAAGGAAGCTGCGCTTAAGAAGCAACCTTAGAGACGACCTAATCCTATATAAGGTTTACCTTCTTAAGGCACTATTAACAATATCTATATCGGCTATAAGAAGACTACGTAATTACTAGCGACTATACTAACTACTCCTACTCCTCGATAGGTCTCGCTAGTACCGCTAGAGCTAAATACCTCTACTAGTTAGGAAGATTATTAGGACGGTATAAAATTAGCTTACCCTAATTAGTTAATAGGCCTTAATCGAGCGAAGGTAGCGCTTAAAGAAGACTACTAGACCTTAAGAATGCTTTACGTATCTTCTAATAACATGTTATTATAAGTAATTAAGTAAACTAGCCTTTATATAACCCTTTATAAGGAACTAACTAAATTCGTCGATAATTATAAGCGTTAATAACGACGATAGTAGAACTCTAACTAAGTAGCATTTAACCCTCGCTATAGTAGTAATCTAAGCGAGTTTAGAGGCTCTATCTTGCGACCCTTATTAGTCTTAGGCTCTAGCTCTACTAGCTCGAGTAGTAGTAATTATAAAATCTAATAGTACTTAGCTACGTACGAATAGGTTTCTAACGTCTACTTTTTTAAGGGCCTATATAACTACTTATTCGAGGTATAATATCTATGCCTTCTTATAATCTGCTAGTTCTAGATCCTCTAGTTTTAGGGCTAGGTCTCTCTAATAACGGAGCCACTATTTTAAGAGGTAGAAGGTTAATTTAATAGGGTTAAGGTGTAGTAAGTATAGTGGTAGGTATAACAAATAGATGCTAAACTAGCGACCTAAATTAGTGATCTATTAGGGTTAGTTTACTATAGAGTTCTTACTAAAATTTGACCATACCTTATCTAAGTAATAGGTCGAGTAGTTATCTATTATAACGATCGACCTCTTTTCTAGGAACGGTTCGCACTAAGGTAAGATCACTACTTCTAGCTAGTATTTATATATAGCTTAAGTGACTACGCCTTTAACGATAAGGGATAAGCCATATAGATACCTATATATATCTAAAGCTAGTAGTACTAAGCATCGAGTCTTATTAACTAGCTCTAACCTTATATAGGCCGGTAGACCTATCTAACTCTATAAATGACGGCGAAACATTACCTTCTTGCTATATATAGACTTATTAAGATATACTAGCATATCTATAGGATTAATACTAGCGTCGAGGCCTTACCCTATTAGCTCGGCTAATTGCTTAAGGTATACACCTTATTACGCATTAGATTAGCGACTTATAATATATGTATTAACCTTATTAGATAGCTCTTCTTCCTTTAAGAGTCTTAAGATAGTTAACCTAGTAACTATAACGTCGAATTAACACTATAATTCGAAGACTAACTCTTCCTACTATAGGTCGTTCTTTCTAGAGAGTAGATTAATAAGATATTTACGCATTAGTGGCGTAATCTTATATAGCGCTCCTATACGCTTAATAGCTAAGGAAGGCTTCCAAACCTGCCTAAAGAGATCTATATTCTTCTACATACGATAGAGCGTACTACGAGGCGTATAGGGCACGACTTTTAAGATAGTATTAACGTTATAGTTGTCGTAAAACATGGCCTATATAAGATCCTTCTTATGGTCGTTTAGAGGCATGTCGCGAGCTTAGAATTAGCCTTAGAACGATGCCTGTTATATAGGTTAATACTACTAGAAATCTAGCATTAACTAATGAGTAACTACCTTAAGCTATACCGCTTAAATTCGGAGTGATAAGAGCTATATAACGTGCTAAATTCGATATATAATGGTTAATTAGCTAGAATTAAGAGCTTAGAGCTATTAAGTTCGAAGACGGGGGTAGCAAATTCTTACAACTTCTGCACTAGAGAATAATTTGCGAGACCCTACACTAGATTCTTAGGGCCGCTAACACTAGCAACTTTGCTCTATACCTATCGACTTTAAACTAACGTAGCACTACGTAAAGTTGTGTTAACATTTTGAATTAACTGTTAAAATAGATAGCGCATACGATAGATATACATACTGTTTTTTATAAAAGCATAAAATCCACTCTAAGCATTGTATTACGCGTTTGAAGTTGATATAGCTTTATGTGTGTCCGGAGAACTGGTACCAGGGTGACCTCACAAGCGTCCAGCGTACTGAGCCTCGCAAATTATCCATGGCCGCACCGAGTATCTTATGCGACAAACAGACTAGTCTGTTAGATTACGCGGATCGCCATGAAGGTCTCAGGGGTAGGGTTGGCCCAATGGTCGTAACGTTGTCGTAGTTAGAAAATCTGGCTAGTGGCTGCGGGTAACGCCTTGATTCACCTTCACCAATTGACCCGGGGAACTCCTCATAACGCAGCTAGATCGAGACTAGAATAAGGTTTTCGTTCCAGTCTCCAGCGCGACAACTCTCCCGACTACGCGCCGTTTTGGTGACCTCACTCGGTCGCTATCCGCTGACTACTCAGATGCAAGCTCGTTTGCACCGTCAAGTCTACATATCGTAAGTCGAGAACAGATGTGGGACATCGGCCTCATTCGCCTCCGACACGGCGTACAACGTCAATTCGACGAACCGACTCTATCTAGACCACTCCGTGCCATTGTACTACATAAAATGCCTCTTAATCCAGCTCTCTTACGCTCTACATAGATACTGTCTCCTTCTCTCGGTTTCTTTCGATCAACGCACCGTGAAGTCTGAACTTACGACGTATCATCTTTATATCGTGTCATCAAACAATGTCCCAACACGCGACTATCAAGGATGCCTTCGGCCCTGGCAGTTTTGTCGACACCGCTCTCATCGATGTTCCGACCGATTCTCGCAGAATCCTTGCCGACCTAGTCCGCATCTCCCCTCAGCTCGGAGTGACGCCTGAGGAGCTGGATCTGGTCGACTTCGCTGGTGATGAGTTGTCTTGTATCCCGGGTAACATCAAGTCGCAAGCTTATGTGCGCTCAATCCCTATCTCAAGCTCGTGCACATTCACTGACTAAGGATCTGGCAGGCCGCCGCGTTGAATGCACTGCAAGCCATTCTCGCCAGGCAAATCAGTGCTCTTCGAGGAGTCGATACTGGTGGTATAAAGATTGACACTGATGCCGCTGGATTGTATCCTGGCACTGTGGCCCTGGGCTTCGTCGATGGTCAGACTCTTGACAAGCTTGATAATGTCGCCGAGTTCGGCGTGGATCTTGACCGTGAATGTATGACCGAAACGGATCTCATGTATCGAACATGGTCCATCTATCCCACTAAGGACCCCAATGTCTGGTACCAAGGAATCGGTAACTTCAACCCAAAGGTGTGGCTCAAGCAACACAGGATCGATCCCGCTACTCCTCACAAGGACAGAGATGAGGCCTATGAGATCATTAGAAAAATGACGATTAAGCATTCCCCTGAGGAGCTCGAAGCCATCGATGTCAACAATGGTTTCTGCGGCCAAATCGTCCACACCCCCAAGCGCTGGCAAGAATTGCACTACGCCAAGAGCCTTGCGCGTCACCCGTTGTTCAACGTGGAGCAGGCGCTGGGCTCGCAGGGGCTACCCCCAATCGAATTCTCGAAGATCTCCGGCAATGACAAGCGCCCATTGGCAGGTCTCAAGGTACTGGAGCTCGCTCGCATGATCGCAGCACCCGAGCTATGCAGGGTGTTGGGTTCACTGGGTGCCGATGTCATCAAAGCTCAGAGCCCGAATTTGCACGACGTCCAGGGCATAAGTTTGTCCTTGACGGCTGGCAAGCGCATCGCCCCGCTAGACTTGAACAAGGCTGAGGATGCTGCACATCTGAAGAAGCTCTTCGACGAAGCCGATGTCATCGTGTCCGCCTTCCGCTTGAAGTCGCTGGAGCGCCGTGGTTTCGGCCTTCTCGACGCCCTTGAGGCTGCTAAGAAGCGTGGCAAGGGCATTGTGTACGTCGACTTGAACACATATGGCCCAGATGGATACTACGCCGAGCGTCCTGGCTTCCAGCAAGTAGCGGATGCCGCATCGGGATGTACCTACGTATTGGGACGCTCCTTGGGCTACGCACCCGGCACAGGTGTAGCTATGTTGCCGGTGGCGGACATGCTAAGCGGCTCTGTCGGCGTCGTCAATGTGTTGAAAGCTCTGCGGGATCGTGCTACAAAAGGTGGCTCTTATCATTCCGTTGTCTCACTGGTCGCGACCGATCTCTATCAATTGACTGAGGAATGTGGGTTGTACTCCCAGGAGACGGTAGACAAGATCCAAGCAAAGTACAAGTTCGGCCACATGGGTCCAGAGACGATGGTTGGAGAGCTGTTGGCCGTCGTCGGCAAGGCATGGGTTCAGAATGGCCCTCACCTGCTAAAGAAGCCGGGACTTTGGGTCACCTACGAATCGGCCTGGGGCCAATCGCACACGATCCAGGCACCCATGATCCAATTCGAGAATGAGGGATCATCCCCCAAGTACAACCATGCACCGGTGCCCTTCTGCTCTGGCTCGCCAAGGGAGGAATGGGCTGTTTCAATCTAGTTTGAGTGTCGGCCGTCTTGACTCGCAACGTACACATATTCTATCGGTGAACACGGATTCTCCGTCTTCACCGATAACTTGCCTTGTAGACGATAGTAATGTCCAAGATGCTCTCGATTGTTTTTGACATTATATTGTGGTTGCAGGCACGCGTCGACCCAGTGCCATCAATTGATCCATTTCTTCCTGACATCATGGCGCTGTGCAACTGTCACTAATATGATGGGGTGTTGTCATGATCCCGTGATAAGGATAAAGGAGGAATGCCATGGCAATGAGAGCTGCTCCCATCGCTTGATCTAGTTAGGAGCTGCGGATGAGAGCAGAACTATGGCGCTATGAGATCTGCTTACAGGTAACAACCCGGACGCTTACTCATATAAGAACAGCAAGTATATAAGTCACGGTCATTACTAGTAGATTGGAGCTTCGTGCTTAACTTTCTTTATCAAATACAAGTTATACCATACACTCTTCTTATAACAAACCTAGAGATCTACACTAGAATATACCTTGTGCACGATAACGAAGTATCAGACCATAATCGTAGAAAAGTAAGGCTAAACTGAGTGATGCAAGTAGGCCTCTTCGACTCCAGGGGTGGAACAACCGACAGCTCAAGTCGTTACCCACTGTGTAGCCGAAGAAATAGCTCGATGCTTCCTCGACAGACACGTTCTTACAATCCTTCGAGGTGGCTGGCACCAATTCTCCTTCGGGATCGAGGAGACTGATTGCGCAGAACTGATTGATGGATAGATTCTCATCAGGGTCGGCAAGAGAAGTCGACTTGGATGTAGGATAGGTGTCTGGATTCTTTGACTATGTGATGTAATAACAAAGAAGTAGTCGAACGTCCATAGCTTGTGTGAAAACTGAAGCGCTGCTCTGTATACCCGGTCCCAAACTTGCGAGCGTACACATCGTGATACCTGACTCTCTCGTGCTCCTTGATTGAGTGGCCGTCCGCATCGATTGATAGCTCGATACAGCTGCCCATTGGTTGATTGAACCAGGAAACATCCTGAGAGCTCCGGAACAGCAGCTAATGAACACATGGATTCATCATGTTTGCATATGTTTTTTATGATATGTGTGTTGTAGATTTACTAGCACTCAGTAGTCTATGCTGCTGACACTGGTTTTCCTGTGGCCTTTGGCCATGAACATATCAACCAGTCGATCGTCGCTACTAGAATAAAGAACATCTATATCAATCTTGATTAAATAGATAGATGTTCATTTACTACTACCTAGTAGTCTATGCTACTGACACTAGTTCTCCTGTGGCCCTTGGCCTTGAACATATCAACCAGACGCTCATCACGCTGACGTTCAAGCGCAGCAACATCCTTGCCTTTCAATTCTTCTCCGACACTGCTTGTCAGAGCTGCCACGTTTTCTGGGGTCCAAGTGAAAGCATGAGCGTTCATATCCTCGGCCCACACTCTGGCTGCAGGACCCAAATGCTCAAGCAGATGCTTGAATCCGTCGCTACCACCTCCACCGCCCATGGCGTTCGCAAGGAACGGTCCAACGACCGCCCATCGGGGACCAATGCTGGTGGTTACACAGGCATCTGGGACCCTGATTAGCATCCCGACAGATTGGACATATGGGCTGAAACACTGATACACTTACCAAGATCCTCTGCCGAAAGCACGCCACGGCTCACAAGGCTGTACGCCTCGTTACACAAGGCTGACTGCAGACGGTTGGCTGCGAACCCGGGCACTTCCTGTTTGACGTGTACAGGTTTGCGGCCAACGCTTTTGTAGAATGCAAGAGCATCCTTTACGACGCTGTCCGATGTGCCTTGGTGAGGGACCACCTCAACCAGAGGCATCAAGTGAGGAGGATTGAAAGGATGGCCGATGAGGACACGTTCGGGGTGTTGGCATTCTCCGACGAATTTTGAGCTAGGCAGTCCAGAAGATGAAGATGCGATGATGACATCCTCACGAGCGTTGCGATCGAGCTCGGCGAGCAACTTTGTCTTCAGCTCAACACGTTCAGGCGCATTCTGGTGAAAAGAGGTTGCGTCAGCGTCCGCAAACGACGCAAAGCTGAGTGCGATGTGATAGGTACCTCTTGAATGAAGTCACATTCCTTGATGTGCTCGCCCAAGTCCTTTCCAACGAACTCATAGTTGTCCGGGTTTGCATCGTTGTCGATGCCCATACGCTCCAGAGTCGGCCATACTTGCTTGATGAATGCAGCCAGCTTGTCTGCAGCGCCAGGGGCAGGATCGGATACCAAGACTTTCAGTCCATGCGAGAGAAACAGAGCTGTCCACGAGGCACCGATGACACCGGTACCGACGACACCAACAGTTTTGATGGGGGCCATAGCTGTTTTTCGAGTGCGAGTGTTCTTGAGACTGGGGAAGTTGAGGATACGCTGGAATTGAGTGCAGTGACGGGCGGCAGGTCAAGATGATGCTCGCGGAGGACGCTTCTTATGGATCTTCATCATCCCACGCCGAGGCAATCGCATGACCAAATCTTATTATTGATGTCAACATCGTTGCTCCTTCATCTGTTTCAGTGAATGACGCAGCGGTGTCAGCGAGCGAAGAATGGCTCGAGATTGCAAGATCATGCGAGGACTTGGGAGATCCATGAAACCGTTACTTTTCGTTTCCAACACCGTACGTCGCCATGTCATGTTTCTACCGTTGCAGCTGGCTTACTCGGGGGTGCGGGGTCATCGTATAGCTCCAACAGGGTCTAGTCGCTGAAGCGCGCCGGGGCGTATCGGCTAGACAAGCCCCGCCGTCGGCCCGCCGTCGTGAATTTTAGACTTTGACTCGTTCCAAACACACCTGACACCGACGCTGACGCTTAACCTGCCCGCCGACTGGCCGACATCTCAACTTCAATGATCGGCGATCGTTATACCTTACCGAACATGTACGACGATCGTTGGTTACCAGGCCGCCGGTGGCTCAGCGAAAGCAGCTCAATTGAGGTCGTCTTGGAATATTTGAATGAGCTAGACTCCTGTTAACCTTACTGCCACTCTGTCTATAAGGTCATGGGCTCCCCCGACAATATCGATTCCGTCATACACTCTATCATCTCATCTGTTCGTGCACATTTGCCCTCATCAGCAGTCATGGCTTCCCCCAAACACGCTACCACCGAAGGAGGATGGGGTCCTGGTTCTTACGTAGACACGGCGTTCCACTCTGTGCCAGATGAGAGTGCCAGAATCATGCGCCTCCTAGCCTCGCAAGCTCCTGGAGTTGGCTTGGACGAGTCTGCCTTGTCCCAGGTCGAGTTTTCCGGCGCTGATATCTCCTTGATCCCTGGTCCATTGAAGTCACAGGCGGTGGTGCGTGAATCAATCATCTTCTGTTATCGCAGATGGGAATACTAAACAAATCCAAAGTCTGCTGCTTTACAAGGATTGATCGGTATCGTTGGCAAAGAGATTTTGGCCTTGAAGGGCATCGACACTGGCAAAGTTCACGTTGACACGGACAAAGCTGGCCTCTATCCAGCCACTGTGGCTTTGGCATCAGTTGACGGAAAGGATATGGGCAAGTTGTCCGCAGATGGCACCATCAGCAGCGTTGGAGTCGATGTCGACAAGGGCTGTCTTACAAAGACCAACATGCATTATCGTTCGTGGGCAATCTACCCCACCAAGGACAAGGGCGTCTGGTATCAGTGAGTCACCCAATCCGAATATTCACGTCCTGTGACGCTAACATGGCTCAGACTGATGGGAAATCTCGACCCTGCGGGATTCTTGAAAGCCTACGGATTGGATCCAAACTACCCCTCCAAAGACAGAAACGACGCCTATGAGGTCATCAAAGCCGAGATCTCCAAGTACTCAGCAGGTGATCTCGAGCTGAAGAACATGGAACATGGATTCACTGGACAGACAGTTTACACTCCCAAGCATTGGTTGGAGACCACCATGGGCAAGGCTATGGCACGCCACCCTGTAATTGACTTCAAACAGGTCCTTGGAACCGAGGGACTTTCCCCCGTGCCATTCCCTCAGACACCGAATGATCTTCGACCTCTGGCTGGCGTAAAGATCATTGAGATGGCCAGAGTGATCGCAGCCCCGGCAGCGGGAGCAGGGCTTGCGGCTCTCGGGGCCGACGTGATCTCCATCCAGAGTCCAAACATTCCAAACTTAGGAGTATGTCAATATAGTGAAAGCCATGCTAGACCCTCGACTGACAACGGTGCAATAGGGCTTGAGCGTCACTTTGACCGCAGGCAAGAAAGTCTACTCGCTCGATCTCAACAACAAGGACGACAAGCAACATCTTCAGGATCTGCTCGACGAAGCAGACGTCATCGTCCAGGCCTTCCGATTGGGTTCAATGGACCGTAGAGGTTTCGGACTTGAGAAGGTTGTTGAGATGGCCAAGAAACGCGAAAAGGGCATCGTATACGCCGACTTGAGCTGTTACGGTTCCGACGGCTATTACGCCGAGAGACCTGGCTTCCAGCAGATCGCAGACGCGGCTACTGGTTGCTCCTATGTCTGTGCCAAATCACTTGGTTTCGAGGAAGGAACAGGTGTTCTACCCTCTCTTCCCATTGCAGACATGCTCTCAGGCGCCGTCCTCATTCTTGATGTCATGCTTGGTCTCCGTGATCGCGCAAGGTACGGCGGCTCTTACCACGCATTCTCGGCCCTTTGTGCCGTTGATGCTTTCCAGCTCACTAAGGATGTCGGACTCTACGGTCCGGAGACCGTTGCTAAGATTCAGGAGACCTTCAAATTCGGCCCAATGACTCCTGATTTGATGGTCGAGGAATTGCTGTATGTGTTGCTCGCCGCCTGGACCAAGAACTCGGACTTCTTGAAGAGACCAGAGTACATGGTCAAGTTTGCAGAAACACCCTTTGGCAAGAATCACACCATCCTCGGGCCTATCGTCAAGTATGATAAGACCGACTGCGACCCCAAGTGGTCGCACGGGCCTGTACCCTACTGCTACTCGAAATCGGCAGTCTGGGGAACCTCCAAACCATCGATGGCGCCTCAATCTAGCGTAGGGTCCGACAGTGAGACGAGACCTGCTGTCGCTGCTTAGATCTAGTCGCTCGAAACACGTGGATCGGTGGTCTCAGTAGACTGGTTATTTAGTAGTTTTGTTCGCTTCCATCCATGTCAATTCGGTAGAAGCTAGTTGTAGCTGCTGCCTGGCTGCATCCGCCGTGGATAGCGAGAAGGTGCAAGCAGACATGTTCGCCCCTCAATTCGGCCATGCCCGCGACTTCAGAGTGTTACTCAACGACCTAAGACTGCTGTGAAGCAAAGAAATGTCCGTCCACGGTGTACGTGTTTTGGCCGAAGATGTAGTAGGTTTCCTCGAAGCTTGGCATACATCTGTCATCGGCTAAACTAAACAATTTGCCGAAGGGCCCTCCCCAGGCTTTCTTCCCCGAGCTTCACTAGGTCAACCCTTGCCAACAAAGGATATGTGTGAACATAACAGACCGTCGCAACCACGTGCAGTGCGTACAAGCCCGCTTCAGAGCGATGAAAGACCTACCCGTCGACGACACATCAAGTCCCGGGATGGCTGTTCCACGTGCAAGCGACGCAGGGTTCGATGCGACGAGTTCAAACCGACATGGTCAGCGTCATCGGCCTACGAATGCCTGAATCTATGTGACTAACTACCAATCCCGATTCCTACAGTCAGATGTGTTTGAGGCTCAATCTCCAGTGCCACTATTCGGATTGCAACCCCACTGGTACAGTTGCGACCGAAGATCCTGGTGGCAGTTCAACACAGACACAGCCGAGTGTGACAGGTACCATCGGGGCTTTCCCACGATCGGTTATGTCTGTCCGATCTGCCGTGAGCCAGCGTATCTCACCTCGCATCGTACAGTTCTCAGACATACCTTCTACCGAGTTGGCGATGATTGGCGACATTGTGTCCAGGGTCGATGCCATGCACGAAACGGATACTCTGTCAATCTACTGGGGTACAAGGTTGCTTCCTGAGTAAGTCTCGCCTATAGGGAAGATGGATACGATGGCTCTTGTAGTAGGAAGGTCGACAGAAGAGCGATTCTAGGTTGGACATGTCTCAAAACTTGGACTGACCTGAGTGACAGACTCGTCCCTCTGGCGCTCCGAGACGATGGAGTCCGACACGGTCTCTGCTGTCTCAGGAGCTCAGAGCTTGCCAATCTGACTCACGACACTGCACATCTTCTCAACGTCAACATGTATAGACAAATGGCACTGTCGGATCTTCGTGCAGGCTTGAATGTCTCACGGCTGGACTGTGCCCTAGCAACATCTTGGCTACTGTCCTGGGTTGCGCCAACGAGGTATATACTAGACCTGTAACATGCTAGAACCGGTCCGTCTTACTCACAGATGTCCAGTGACGAATTTGTGGTGACCATGGATGGTGTCAGCTTAGTGAGTTTCCAATATCTGTATAGTCAAACGCGTCTCTAATGCGAGCAAAGATCTTGAGCCTGATGAAGGAGCTCTCTTACAGCTGTAGTCTGAGGTCATTCTTCTTGGTCTCGCCAAAGAATACTGATATCTCGGACTCGGGACCTAATGCGCTTTATTCCAGGGAGCAACTTATTGAGATCATTCAAGACTCACTCAAGAACCTGAGAAATATCTGTTCATCTCGCAAGGATCTGAAGCAAGCGGTCACGCAAATGTACAACGCAAGTGTCAACTGGACGAGAGCGCCACCAGATTACAACAAAGAATCATCTCAACTCAGAGGTTTATATCCAATACGAAGTCCGTTGCACTGGCTACCGTCCATGACCACGGATATCCTGAATAGAGACCCACTGGACATCCTCTTTGCTGCACATTACAACATGCTCGCCATCGGTTGCAGCCTAGTCAGTCCTGCGGTCAAGATACCCTTTGGGCTTGTATCCAGAGCTCATCTCATACTAGCCATGGTTGATCGATCTTATGAGCCCCCAGATCGGAATCTCTCTACTGATCATGCTAGTTGTGCGTCAGATGTTATGAGATGGCATATGGCGGGGCCAGTAGCACTTGCTCGTTACATCCTGGCGACGGAGGAGACGACTTGAAATCCAGTCCGAGGCAACTCCGGGGCTGTCTCGGATTTCCTCCAAGATCCATCAGTCTATCACTTCTCATCAATGTGGTACTGTCGTTATTCTAAATGCGAGTTCAAGCTGTTTTCTGTCTCGCCTTCACTCTATATCGCTCATTCTTGGTGACTCCATCACGACACTCTCAATCAGCCAAACTCTCGCTCCTCGATAACGTCACAAAAGACCTTTATCACACGTGAAATTAGGGTGATCTTGTGGGATTCAATCGAGCGCCATAACATCCTCGCAAGAACTCAAAAATTTGTTTAAGGTTGTGGTCCCTTCGCCGTGGGTTTTCGTGATCGGAGCTTAGGACTAGCGAGTCTATCACCATACGCCATAAATTGTATCGAATACCCGAAAGCAAAGGTCCCGGGGCTCGGGCAGTATTGCTATGCGTGGATCCTTCGAACTTCCACGTGCTACCACTCTCGGCGGGGAGATTCTCGCCGGGGGGGGG